TCAAACACGAATGTGAATGTGCCAGATGACTGGGCTGCAGTGATAGGGTCATGGCACCTCTCTCTCTCTCTCTCTTTCTCGCTCTCTGTCGTTGCTGCAGCAAACCTACCAAGCCTCCGCCCGATACCCATAGGAGGACCAATTCTTGGGAGCCAGCTCGCATCCGAGAGCATCAGCACCACCTTGCAGCAATTCAAGACAGAAAGGAATGCTGGTCAAGCAGAAATGACCGACAGCTCCACACATGGTTCTACTCCTTCGGTGCTGAGGCTGGGACGGTGATTTGCCGTGCGTCCTGTGACTTAAATGTTCAATTTCGTCCTCAGCCTGGATGACCTGGGCCTTTTAAATCTTGCACCCTACTAAATGCCAAAGCCTTGCAGAGGAAGTGGAAGGCTGGGCTGTTTGTGCTCTGACGCGGCTATCGGCTATCTACTTCCAGCCAAGCCGGCGATATTATCATGAGTGGGCAGCAGTTCCGCTAAATGATGCTAATTGTGTTTGCGTTGGATCGCACTTCTTCGAGCTGTTCACATTGTCCCACTTGCGGAGGTGCAATGGCAACGCACGACGAGGCGAAGCGCGGATCGGACTGCCCTCCGCCCAATTCATCGAGCTTCCGAGATCCATGCTGCGCGGTTTAGCGCCGATGAGTCCCCAGAGTCACGAAGCAGACGCATAGCTGTGCAGCTAGCTGGAATAACTGTTGGGCAAGACGACAGAAGCCAAAGTATTTGTAGCGAACGATGCAAGAGTCAGTGGAGCAGCCCATCCAGCAGTCAGAAATCAAATTTGCGTCGAAGCACTACCTTCCCAGTTTCAATGGCAACCTGTTAGGCTCTCAGCCCTCACGTCAGCAAGATTGTACAAGCTGGCCGAGAATCGAACAGGGGCTGGCTGTTTTTTTGAAGGAACACATAGCAAAGCTGTTCAGATGTGTGGGGCGCACTCATACATAACGCCCGCCAGAGGAGACAGTGAATTACACACTGACATACCGTACACGCAGGTACAACTTCGTGGCAACCCATGGTTGGGTCTGCTGTTGACTGGCACTTCCCAGTTCCCGCAGTCGAAAAACGGCCCTAAAGCTCTCAAACAAACCGCAGGTTCTCTCCTCAGGATCGTTGCCCTTTTCGAACGCGTCCTGACAGGGAAAAGGGTCAAGACTGCATCAGAACCAGATCGCCGCAAGAAGCCGAGTGAGGCGGCGGAGGGCGTTTGTCAGGGCTCAGAGAATCCTAAAAAAGCGCGCCGAGACCCAGTTGCCTGATGCCAGGCTTGGAAGTGTTGGCTCTCCCGGTAGACGGTGTATTGGGCGTCCTGGCGTCGACACGCAGCGGTTGGGATGCTCAGAACAGCCACCCGCGTCCACAAGATGCCCTATAACTATATATAGAGCCAGCCATCAAACGATGCGAAAAGCAGGCTGCAAACACCTTCAATACCAACCGCGACTACATCGCATTGTACTTGTGCCTCCGCCTCACAAGCCATTCACCCTCAATGTCAAAATGTCAACAGCACTTCAATTCCTTCGAGTCCGCACCGAGACCTCTCGGCAGGTCGCGCCGAAGCAAAGGCCCCAAGGCCGAAGCCAAGTGACTGCACACCGAGACGGCGCTCTCTCACGCGCCCATGTCACGACGTGCGTGCCTCGTATGTACAGATGGGATCCCCAGCTCCGTCGACCTGCAAGGAGTAGGAGTGCGACAATAGCCGAGCACACCGAAGGCAGCCGAAAGTCAGAACAGCTTCTGGAGCAGCAGCTGTTGTACACACGCGAAGTTCCGCCTTGAGCGTTCCAACAGACTTCCCAAGCTTTACCCCTGGACTTGGCAAATTTCATCATCAAATACTGACGTTCGCAATCTCGTATTCGAGCTTTCGGCATTGTGGATATGAGGACGAGATAAATTAAAGGCGATGGTAAGACCCGGTTCTGCTTCTGTCATTCTTTGTCATTGCTGTGTAGTCTGCCATACCCTGCCATGATGCAGAGTTCACTGTGACAGCGCAGGCTGTAACATGACACAGGCAGATCGCATACCCCGAAATAGCTATGAAGCTCATGCGTGCGCAATCGAGGGCAGTAATGCATAGGTCCCATGCGCACAAGCATTGATGAATACCGAGAAACATGGCCTGAAAGAGTGGCCACTCTTTGTTGGCGACATCACGGACCTCGGCCACCCAGTCTCAGTGATAGTGAAGTAAGCAATGGAGCATGAAGGCCTTGGACATTGAACTACGAACTACTCTGTCCTTCCGATATGTCCCCCCGTTCGCAAGCTTTGTCGAGCGGTTTATGGTGCTTCATGGTGCTGCTAGCTCAATGGGAGACCGGCCAGATCTTTCAGCTTCTGATACATGAGCGGGCATTCCTGAAAGGAAGACAGTGCAAGGAGCGCTGCCTTTTGAATGGTTTCTTTGAGTCCGACGGGATTGTCTTCGCGGCTGGGTCTGCTAGGAGCCGAAACACACCGTCTCGGCCTAGTGCTGCATGCATCGACTTAATGCCGTGGCAAGGTCCTGACTGCAGGGCCCCAATAACTCCGAAAAGAAAACTTGTGCTTCGCACACGGGACGACCGAGACATGGCCCTCAAACACGACAAACTCTCTCCGGGTCCTTCTGTGGCTTCAGCCAGGAGATGTTGCTGTCCCGATCGTCGTATCTAGCCTGCGATTTGGGAGGTATTCAACTTTCGTGTGCACCGATGTCCTCTTTCAGACTGCGAGCGATGTGATTGCAGCAGCTGTAGGAAGCTCGCTAGAATAACCGGCAGCATGCGACAACACACTTGCTCCGTCTTGCAGCAAAGCTGCAACAGTCAAGCAGACACCACTAACAGTCCATGGCTGACAGGGAGGGAGTTCCCCAAGGTCGGCATCATGGACCAATTCGGGATTACTGCAGCCGAGTCCAGAACAAGTGATGCTTCTCCCGGCCACCCGGGAACCGCAGCCACTCACACGACGCGCCTTTCGCTCGTCGTCCGACTCCCCTGCGCCCTCGTTCCTCGTGTCTCAGAGGCGGTTTTTCAGGATCACCAGTGTTCAGCATGATTGTCCTTGACATGGCAAACATCAAAGCTCTCTTGCGCGGGCTGACAGCTTGTTCATCAAAACGGTCCAACTGAACCACAACATAACCTGTGACCCAAATCGAGAAATGACCCTTAACTCTTATGTGATACTCTCAAAGTGCACTTGGCCGAGGCTCTTCATCTTGGCGGCTTTGGGCCGCTTCCTGGCTGTGGAGGAAACGTCAGCATATATATATATATATATATATATATAGAGCGTTGAACCGCGAATGACCGTCATTCTTCTCCATGTGACCGCTCCGGTGCCGGTGGTATGCGGCAAGTCCCTGCAGACCGCCTTCGCAGCACGTGGTCCAGTGCGGAAAGTTCCGCTGCGTTGAGGGCAGACCTGCGATGACACAGGATTCAGCAGTCGTTGTCAGTTCAGAGGTCGCAAGCAACGGCCCGCAACTGAGACGAGTTTCGAGTCACTCGATATCCACCCAACATGACTCAAGTGGAGCCTTGCATTGCTGAGGGGGAAAGTAGAGCTCTGACACTTCATGTCAAGCCCTTTCGGCCAAAAGTCTGCAAAGGCTTGCAGAGGCACTTTGCCGCCCCCTGTAAGGTCCAAGCTTGACGACCACGTAGCTACTGTGCCGCTCCTGGAGCCGAGGCCACGGGCGCCAGCAGAGACTTGGGCTTCACATGTCCGCAACTGTGTGCCAACATGCAAACCTCAACACGAGAGCCTGCTTTAGACTCCACCTGTGCCAGGACGCGGCATTTGGGGCCCAATGCTGGAGATCTGAACTGGATCTCGCATTACCCAAACCGCCACGAAGCCCACAAGCCACGTCTCAAGATAAGTTCAACTTTTGAGCCCGCGGGTCCTTCAGGCTAAAGGACGGCCTTTGCACGCCGGAGCAAATTCAAGGTTTGGTTTCGCTGCGTGTTCATAGGGACCAGATATGCATGTGGGCGCATGTGCTGCCATCCATTTGCCGATGCAAACATCTTTTGGTCGAAACCTGCTCTGCCGTGTGATACGGTTCTACAGTGATTCACACCTGCATTTGTCTGGTTCTGCTTCAGTCTTGGGCTCCTGTTGGCTCGCGGTATACGGGCTAGTAAATGAATGTGACGATGTCTGATGTCTGGCGATAGCAAATGGTGGCTGGATGCCTTTTGCCCGGATCGTGTTTGAGATCTGATTGCAGGGGGACAAGTGCCGACACAGCTCTTCTTCAAAAGATCTCAACCCTTCATGAACAGCACTTTGCAACTGCTTCGGCCTCCTATACGCATCCGGCGCCATCGACTTCCGCCGCAACCGACGCCTGCCGTCACCACCCCTCCGATTTCTTCCGTCTCTCCACGTATACATGTTTTTACATACATACATACATACATACACATGTTTTTTCATGTCATGGTGTGCTATGCTGTGTTTTGTTATCTAACGTCATGCGATGCCAATAATGTCATATTGCGTTATGCTTCTTGCGTCATATGGTTTTGTAGTAAAATGTGTTGAGCCGTTTCTTTTGTAGGCCATTACCTTGTGTTGCGTCAGATAACTATATACCATATAATATGACATCATGCTCATCATGCTATGATACAGTATATATGTAACAGTATACAACATTGTATAACAGTATAACATTGTACACCATTGCACTATCGGGTTTTGCATGGTATTACATAGTATCCTGCATTATTAATTATATTATATCAAGTATAAGTATATACTATTAGATTTTGTCATTCTGTATGTGCCACAGTATATAGTCTGACATAATATGTTTCTAGAACGCAACCATGCACGGTTTCCGCTGACTGTAGGCCTTAACAGAAAGGGAAATGCAGGCAGGGTGTGAGCTCTCTGCCTTTGGGCTGGCATATGATTGACGAAAGTGATCATTTCACTGGAACAGTAAGGACGCGACGGTATCGCTGGGGTTCTGAATTGACCGACCAAGCCCCCAATTGTGCGAAGGCTCTGTGTTTGAGATCATCCTGTCATCCCTGCCAACTTCCAGCCACATCGACACAACCCCATAGCTTGAAAGCCGAGGCTGGAAACAGCAATCTGGGAGACAACGGAACCGGTGAGCATCCAACTTGGTAAGTATTCAATGTCGGCTATAGAGATCATGCTTCCTGCGCTGTTTGGCGACTAGTGTGAGAGGTGATTGAAGAAGTTCTAGAGGGACCGGTAAGGTTTTCATGCCATCGAGCATGGAGTGTGTTTCCACGCCTAGGAAGCCAACGAGCCCAAACATGCAAGGTATATGCGCGCAAGTGCGGTTGCCGTGCCTCACTGGCGGGTCTGCAGCACGTGTCATGGCTGCCGGCAGCATTCGATTCTGCTTGAGGTTGTGTTCCGAAACCCGGTTGGTTGCTGGTTGGGCGTGAGCCTCGGGTGTTAGGCATGGCTGTCAAAAGAATCCTGGTATAGCTGGGTGCTCAATTGTCATATGGACTACGACTGGCTCCAGGTCGGTCTCCAGTCATGATTCAATAAGGCACTATGATACAAAAAGTGTCGGGCTCAAGCCCTGGGCCGACCTTGTACGTTCATAAGCCTGCGAAAAGCTCCACATGGTATGATCTCAACTTGCGAATCATTCCACTTGGGCATACCTGGGCACAGGCTGCAGAAGCGCACCATGTCAGCTCCAGGCAGGGCAGGTTTGGCAAGTCGAGGAATTCTGGCATGATCTGCTGGGAAACTAGCATTCACGCAAATGTGTCATGACATTCCCGTTGACTTTGCCTTCGTCGCATGAAGCCGCGCAGTGCTCGATGGAGTGTGTAATCCCCTCCCCCTAACCTCAATTAAACAGAAGGGTCGATCATGGGGCCTGCTTTTTTGCAGGAGTCTTGGCGGTATATAAGTGTTTTTGTCCAACGTAGCGTTGTTCAGGCTTCATGTGTTGCTTCGGTGTTCGCACTCATGAGCGATTAGATTACTTTGATGGGGTCTTTGTGTGTGTGTGTGTGTTTATGAACACTGTCCTTGTTTATAAACACGGCTGCTGTTTATAAACACTGCTTAAATCTAGCTAGATTTAGTGGAGGGAGGCGGGGGTAGTCTACACAGAACATCGTCACGATCCTGTCGAATGCCTGGTCAATCACTTTGTTCCCGCGCTGGCTATTGGTTCTGTCGCAGGAACTCCTCGGCGTCCGCCAAAGACAGCAACACCTGGAGGGACGGCCAAAGCTCGGATGCGAAGGAGATGCTGGATCTGCAAGCATCCGACAAATCATGTTGCATTGCACTTGAACAGATGGCACATGTAAAGCATAATCGTTCAAGCCTTGGGCCTCGGTTGCAGCATCGCGGCCGACTGAAAGATCTTCGAGAAAAAGCTCCAGAGGATACTCGGCCTGCTTGTGGAAGTGTGGATAATGCAGAAGCAAGCCCTTTCGGCGCACCACTACCGCCGACTCTGGTGCAGCACAGCATATAACAGCATCTGGCAGAAACTGCAACTATCATTCAGTTTCGGTTGTAGCATTCACCGTTGTGGGCCTGCTCCGCTGCTGAAGGGAACAGCAAGGCATGCGCGTCCGCAGGCCCGCGACGAGTCTCGACAGGGGGCAGGCCGCAGAGGCAACATATTGCAGATCTTTGTAGAGCTCCGCAAGTTGGGGCACAGAAGTCCAACAGCACGGCTTACATGCGAGCTTGGCTCATTGGCTCAAGAGGCTCGTTTACATGTTGGAGCTACTAAGAGCATAGGAGGTCGCCTGTGCTGCTGTGACATGCCGTGGCTCAAGCACAGAAACCAGATTGACCCTGTGAATCTGGACCAACCAAAAGCTAAGAGCGTGACTCGGACTCGTTCTAGATGCGAGGAGTGCGAAGCCAAGCGCCAAAAAGCTGTGGGGACTATACTGGACGCCCTAGCCTTCTTCAAGCTGAGCGACGACGAAGGAACCAAGTCGCACAACCACAAGCCCGTGCCCAACGAAGCCCTTCCAACTGCACGAGAGCGCAGCTATGACTGCTGCATAGACGGCTTTGGCATGCAAGGGCTCGAGCTGCCTCCGGATCGCCCCAGTGTCTGTGCAGCGCTGCACGCCGCCCGGGGGTGAGAAGCGGCGCCTAGGGCCAGAAACGAGTTCTCGCCTTCTGGAGCTGAGAGGCACGGAAGAGGCTGGAGGACGGCCCGGCGGTGCGAAGCATTCGATCGATGCGCACGCAGCTCTGCAGCTCTGCAGCTCAGCGTGGTCCCCAGTACCGCATGGCTGGGGTTGGGCCTTGGGGGCTCTCGGCTCGTTGAGGGCTCGCCATGGCCATTGGCTTTGCTGTGAGCGCCTCTCGTATATGGATTCAGCCTGCTGCCTGAAATGCGGCTTCAGTGTGCGGACGGTGTATCTGTTGGAAAATGTCCTCCTGCCTATAAATCCTAGAGCTGACCGTGTTTTTTGCAGGTCCGCCTCAGCCGTGAAGTGCTTGTCCAGCACTTGCGTCACCACATCCTCTACAGGACGACAGAACAAGACACGGAAATGCAGCTATCAACCTACCCTTGAGTCCTTGAGCAGTGGCAACTTGAAGCATTAAATGCGTCCACAGCCTCACACCTCGGAACCTTTCGTGCAGCTTGGACTGCCGATGAAGGTGCCTCTGCACCAGACATTTCACCACCAGCAGGCGGAGCGCGCAAAGCCAAACAGCTGGTTGCGCGGTCACCTCCAGCGGTCAAGATTGCTTGTTGACAGTCTCTATGACTCGAACAGCCAACCTCACGTACCGACAATGAAAAGGTTGCATCGAGTGTTGAAGAGGCTTGTCATGAATGTAACGGCTTTCGTGAGGGTTCGCAGATGTTGACAAAACGGCTGTGAGCTTGCTGTTCTCTCGACTTCCTGTGTGCTGGGCGTGGGACACCAGGATAGGTGAGATTTCACTTCGGAGGGTGTGTGTGCAGCCGGTTTAGGGCTCGCGTGGCTATCAGAAACTTGGGAAGGTGTTCAGGGCTGAAACAAAGGTTTCGAAATTCTGTGGGCAGCGGCCCGGCAAAAAAACCCAACACGCGACAAACGCGAGCACTGAACTTGCGGATTTGGTGACTTTTTCAGCTGCCTATAATGTCCTTGATGCGCAGTACTAGTAATCACTTAGTTATCGCCCGAAGATTAATCCCGAAAGGAATGCCGTCGTTCAATTCCTGGCCACGGCCTCGGTTCTCGACGGACCAAGTCTTCAACCTCGCGCCATGAGTTGCTTAGCCCTTAGAGGGGTGCTTAGCAGCTTGTGAGGGGGACTTGGTGTCTTAAGTCGATCCTGCTTCTGCTTGTGATCACAGCTGGACGTTAGCTGTGCCTCAGATTCGCTCCCCGGCTCACCGCTCAAAGCCGCCCCCCCTCCCAACCAAGGAAGACTTCGGCCACCCCCACCTCACCACCTGTCAACTTGAGGCCCCGGCTCTTGAAAACCCAGGCCGGGTGCCATCTCGCGGAGTGCGGCGAACAAGGCCTGTCCGACACGTCGCGCAGCGTCGAGCGGATGAATTCTCTCCTTACGTTTCGAGATCCTCGACGCAAGAGTCTCCAACGCTTTCGAAACTTAAGGCCACTCCTACAGGTTGCCATTCTCTTGACTGGCTTGCTCTTCTGCGGTGGAAGGGTGTGTATGGCCCACCTGTGGGTTTTCGTTTGTAGATGATTTGGACTTTGTATACATCGAACCCAATACTACAAACAGACCTTAAACTAAGCCCCTACCTATGCGTCTGTTTCCAGACGCCGTCTGTAACCAAACTAACCCGTCTGTGACCAGGAACCCCTAACTAGGCTGATTACCCCGCAACCAGATGGACACACCAGTAAACCCCTACCGCTGAGTCATCCGAGTGACCATGAACAGTCATGCATGTGTACATGCGTGCATGCACGTGTACATCAATAGAGTAGATGCAGACTCTGTACGCTTGCTGAGAACACCTGCCCAAGTCTTCTCCCCTCTCAAATTCCCTCACCCCATATCCTCTCAAATTTCTCTCCTCTCAAATTCCCTCACCCCATATCCTCTCACATTCCTCTCCTCTCCAATTCCCAGAGGCTTGAGAAGGAACTTTTCGGAGAGCTTTAAAAGTGTCTCCCTTCTCAAGTCCCCCATATCCTCTCAAATTCCTCTCCTCTCGAAAAGCCTCTCCCCCTATCTTCTCAAATTTTCTCTCCTCTCATATTCCTCTCCCCATATCCTCTCGAGTTCGCAAAACATTGATTGTCAAATGCTTCTCAAACTATTCTCAAAAATATTTATTTTGCTTGCCCTCAGTGTGTACCAGTAATTGAAGTTGTAAAGCTATAACTCCCACAGCCCGTCTGCACAGTTTGCGCACGCCTGAACCTCTCTAAGTTCGCAAGCTATATAACTTGGAAGATGCTGAATTCGACAACGAACCGAAACAAAACCACTACGGCGCTCCCTGAGGCCTTCAACAACGACTCTTGCCCTAAGCAGACTTCCCCATGCAGTTTTTCACCGTGGCCCAACTTTGATGGATCCGGACGGTGGCAAGAGCTTGCCAGCAAACCAGAAAAAATGCATTGCCGCTGGCTCCAATCCTCTGAAATTTGGGGTCAAGTTTCCCCCCTAGACAGGCATTCCCGGGGCACAAAACTTCGGCGTTCCAGGAGAGGTGCTTGGCCCAAGCAAAGGCCTGAAGGGGGGTGGCGTAAAGCGTTTCCTGTGCGCCCAGGCGGAGGGCCCCGGCCGAGATCTTGGACTTGGACCTCTTATAATGGGGACTACTATGTTACTATGTGGCTTAGAAACTTAAGCTCCCCGAAGTGACGAAGTATCGAGCAAAAATGCGACAAAGGCGTTCAGTGGCAGCAAGTGCACATGACAAACACATACACCCATGATCAGTCACATTTACGAGCAAATATTCGTACGAGTGTTATGTGTGGACATATGGATGTAAACACTTTTGTGGAGACAGAAAACGTCTGAAGGAGTGCTGTGAACATGCATGCGTACAGTTCAATGAAGATTATATGTGTGTAAATACTTATATAGACACGTGTCTGTGTAGGTGGCGATTTTGCTTTTAGTATTCATACATACACAAATGAACAAATCAACGCATAAATACGTACAGCCACCTACTGAGTAGAGTGTATATAAATGCATCTATTAATGTGTGTATTTATATGTACATGCACGTCGTACGTGTGTGTGTGTGTGTATGTATGCATGCATGCACGTATGTTTGAAGTGTATGCATCTGTGTGTGTGTGTGCAGGTTCTAAACCAGTTATGCTTAATGCAGGTGTGTGTGTGTGTGTGTGTTTATGTAAAGTATGTATGTACCCAGGCATGTTTTTTATGTATGTATTTACCGAAGTAACTATGCATGCAGACATTTAACTATGCATTTGACTGTGTATATCTGTATGCATGCTTGCAGGTAAATACTTATGCAGTTATGCATGCATTTACGCATGTATGTAGTCATGTATATGCATGCACGCGTATGTATGTACATTATATATGTATATATGCACACACCCACGTGCGGGAGTGAGAAAGATATCACTGCAGAACATCTTCTTTGATTTCACGCGCATGAATTGGAACTGGAGCGGAAAGGCTGTCAAAAGCCACGTCCAGGAAGAAGCCGTCCTGCGCACATAAAACGGCTTCACCCACAGTATCACAGGAATAGGGTTGCTGCACGGTGTCACTACTGCTAGATTCAAGCTCAGTTTTTCATGGTCGACTCTTCAGGTTCGGATCAGGACCCTTAATTCCACACCGAGCAGGTGGGGATGATGAAAGCATAGAGCATCAAGCTCTCAGACGCCTCTGAAGCTACATGAAGCTACTAAGATAGCGAAGTTCGTACGAACGCAGGTCTTCGTAATTTCAGGAGTATGAAGAGCGGAACGAGAGCCTGGCACGCGCATCTTGTAGGATCCTGTCCCATGTCCAGGTATCGCTTGGGTTCCACTAGCCCTTCCGATCCGACATGACCCAATCGCTTCCTTTTGCCGCTTTCGCCGACGAGCTCTTGTGCAAGTGCAGTGGCAGGACTTCGTGGCTTTCGAACTCCAGAAGTCTCTTCTTAGAGCTGTGTGTCTCGCAGAGTTCGAGCTGAAATGGAGTGAGACGACCGGATTCCTGGGAAGCCCTTCTGGTTTCACAGGAGCCTCAATCAAGCCCACTCAAGCCAAGACGCACAGGTCTGGCCTCAGTGCCACAACCGACACTCCAAAGCTGCCGCGCCTTCCTTACGAACCTGTCCGGTCACCATGCAAGCTGATCCTACCAAAGTTGTGTTTGTTGGAGAGAGGAGCCGGCTTAGCTTCTTAAAGATAACCCGTGTATTGGCACCCTTCGTCCCTCAAGGCCTTTCCGTCATTGATACATGCCTGCGCTGTCTTTTTCGCTCACCACAGCTGCTTCGTGTCGCAGCCGAGCTCTTCGGCCAAAGACCGCACGGCCAACAAGGCCTTCTCCACATCTTGATGGCTGATCCTTACAGTAGCAGAGTCTACCCAGGTCTCTGTTTTGGATGTGCCAGGGTGAATGCTCGTCGTCAGTCTCAGAATGTGGATTCAAGTGGAAACTGTTCAATGCCAGCGAGTATGATGAATCAACTTGGCAAGAGCTGGGGCTCGGGGATTTGCTCAATCGCTCTCTCAATCCATCCGCGGGCACAGTCACCCTGGCCTTCGTGCGGAAAACGGAAGAAAACTGCTTAACATCGTATTCCCTTCAAGTTGCACCACGCACACTGCTCCGAAAGCCTCCACGCGCAGGAAACCCTGGAATCATCCAAGCAGCGGCTCCAGTTGCAAGACCTGGGGCAGAGGCTTTCTCGGTTAATTGGTCACCAAGCTAAATAAACCCATGTCAGAACACCAACAGTTTTCAACACCTGCTTCTCAGCCCAGAGGCTACATGGGAAGTGCTGGGTGATCTTCAAACAATGTTGCAAAATTAACTATTGACAGATCCACCTGCGCGGCATCTTCGACGTATGCTGGCTGGCGTACGCCGTTCAGAGTGCAGGCGACACCAGGTGCTGACAGCGCCAAGCGAAGTGCAATCCTCGGCATGTCTCATCTGTGCAATCGTCAAGTCACAGTGCTGGGAGCTGGGTTTCGTATATACCGAGCAGCACGCTGGAGGGGTGCATGGACTCGTCATGAAGGCAAGTACTATGGCCTATGGCTCACTGTGGACTTTCCAAACTTTCTACCAAGCAGCTGTTGCAATGGCGCCTCCGGCAGATTTGCAGATTCACGCAGGACACGCCTGGATCGGCTAGCTTCTTGCTGAACTAGTGGGACGAAGGTTTAGGCTCTCGTACTTCAACGCTCCTATAGTCGCGGTGGCACGATATGCAGGTTGTTCCTCGGACTTTCGAGACTCGCGGTTAAGCTGCTTGGCATCGAGACTGGCCGGAGAAGCATACGGCAAGTGTGAAACTCCTCCTTGCACAAAGCTAGCCATCACGTAGGACCATGGTAGCCGCACCTAATCCGTGACAACTAGATCGATCCCGAGCTCGAGGTGCCCGCTGATGTCGGGGAGGCCTTGGATACCTTGGATTCCTCCCTACGAGGTTCTGCGAGCAACCTCGTCAGCTGTTTCTGAAGACTTGCCAGGCTGCTTCAGGAGCGATGCCATTGTGCCCATCGGCTTCGCCTGAAGCCGCGAAACTGCTGGCAATCGATCGGCCACCGCCCTACTAAACCACGTAGCAATACGTCGCAAAAACCATCCAGCTGTCCCGGCCTCTCGCAGCTGGAGATGCGAGGCGCCCCCACGGCCCCAGTCGCCAGTAGAAACTCCGGGCCTCGCTGTCTAAGGCTCGATAAAACTCTGTGAGCATCCTGGAATATCCTGGAGTTTGGGCCTTCTGTGCGTGTGTTGTTCAGAGTCTACGTTTGGCAGCTTAAGTAAGATTCCGAGGCTGCAAGTGGGTCCGATGGCTGGTGTAGCCGGGTAGCCAAGGCTTACGAAGCATTTACCCGTTCCTACGTTTTCTCAGCTATTCAACCGTTCGTACCACGTTTTTATCAGCGAAGGAGAACTCCAGGCACAGACGAGTTGCAGTGAATACCCCCGCAGGCGCCGAATCAATTTAGACAAGCGCTAATCTAAAGAACTGCTCCGCTTTCCGACCTCTCTCCAACGAATTACGGCATCGCGGCTGGAAGCCAAGATGATTGGGGCATGCACATCAGGTTCACCAGCATTTCTTGGAAGCCAGAAGTGGAAGCAAGCTCTCGTCCATCCAAGAATCATCGGCAAGGCATTCAACGGCCGGTTCCTTGAATGGCGATCGGTACCAGCAGGTCAGTAATTCAGTACATGACGCCGCCTACAAAATCTACAAACACACGGATGAGCGTTGCAGCGACACAGCTCTAGGATATGATGCAAGCTCGTTTGCAACCCGGTGCTTTGGAAACTTCTCTGCCGAAGCTCGTCACGAGAGAAATCCCAAGCCGCTTGGCCAAATCGCAGTCTCGCTCTACCTGGCTTCGCGAGTGGGGCGGCGGGGGGGGGGGGGGGTCATGCAAGCTAGCCTTCAGCTGCGGAGCCTAAGCCGAAGGTTGACGATCTGTTATCGCCGGTGATGTCTAAAGCTCAACATATATTAATGATGTGCCGTGCCGGTTCGCAGATCTGAGCAGTCACCGAGCCATGGAACCAACCCATCTCCACGTGACATGCCGGCCTCTACAGCTTTGCCTCGACCAAGCACGGCTCCGCCCTCGAAAGCGTTCCTGGGTGCGATCTTGTGGGCATTCGGGGTCTCGAGTTCAGCCAGTTACACCTTGCAAGTTGGCCGAGAGCCAGGCAGGCCACGAACAATTCCTGCGCTTCTTCAGGAACCATGCGGCAAACCTACCTCCCAACATCTCCCAAACTAAGGTTGGCTGAGGGTTGCGTGCAGCAGCATCTTCATTTCGCAGCCGTCTTCTGCCGTGCCTGGCCCTTGCTGCTGAAACTCGCATCAGACTACTGTATGCATCTAGGCTAGCTTCGCGTCTACTCTTCGCTAGCTGTGCAGCCCAAGCTCAAAGGCAGCTGAGCCAGCTTGAAATGGCAGTCCACTCCCACATCCGCCCTTGGCTTAGAAGCTTCAGGCAAGGTGATGATGCAATTGTTGCCGTCCAGCGGGACGGGGGCACAAGCTTGAAGCTTTGGTAGCGTTGTTCTTGCGCCAAGGTACACGTAATAAGATCGGTAACTACGTCCTGCCTCAACAAGATCGACAAAATTGGGGGTGATGCCAAAGATCAGTCCGCTGCAACTGATGGGGACCGTCCGGTCGAAAAGACATCGACACTGCATCAAATGCCACAACCTGGACCTGCAAGAACGATTACTCAGCAGCCCCCTTTCTGCCCAGGTTCGCTGCCGCCGCTGCTGCATCTGCCACCTGCGTTGGTTGCGAGATCTTGGAAGTTCTGGACACTGAAGATGAACTAGAGGCTGCTCTGCCCCGGAGGCCCATGTCATCTACTGGCTCATGAGCGCAACCAGCCTTTCTCGGCTGCTGACATTTCAGCATCAGCCAAGCCACCCGATCCAAGACAAGAGCTTCGTAGAAATTGGCCCGCCCAGTCACCGAAAACAAGCAGGAGAGGAAGTTGCTGCTGACCTTAGCGGTTTCGGCGCGGGAGGGTCGCCTTGTTAGCCAATGCGTACAACCATAGGCAAGCTTGATTGCTGTGGTTTCGGTCAATGGTGTCAACTGATGCATCGAACCCAAGTATATACGGCCAAGCTCCGATGCTGGTTCCATGGCTCATGACCAGTAGGACATTGCTTACTGCAGCCCCATTTATAAAGCACGCTCCTGGCCAAGTCACCCCGTAGCCACCGGCAATGGTGCCCTCGCTGCCTACAGGCTGCATAGTTAGAGCGGTGCTCCAACGAGTCGAGTGTGAACGCCTAGCAAGGGTGCTGCTGTTCTGAATCAGACCTGGGCTGGTGCACTGCTGCCTCTGACGCATGCCCAGTCGGTCGCGGGTGAACCCGGAACTGCCAGTCGGTTTTGCAGTGCCAATGGGTTGTGTTCTCCCGCGGACAGGCAGCGACCTTCGAGCCTGAAGACCCTCAAAGGTCCCCTAGTCAAGCACAAACTTCGTCTACTGCCCTGCCGTGAACCACCGTGAACCTGAAGTCTGTCGCTGACTCTGTGACGTCAAGGCCGGGCTGCACAGCGCTTCCAAAGCCTTGAAGGACTCGAAAAGTGCCTGACATTAGCACATTTAGGCGGCGTAGCTACTCAGCAGCTACTTGGTGTGCAGAAGCGGTGCAGACATGTGGCACAGAATGTGGCACAGAACCACGTGTATGATGGCCAACGATAACCCGCTCTGCTTGAAAGCCGCTTGCTGCGTCGCTGGCTCGCGCCCTCATCTCGGTTGCATTTGGCAGCTTTGCGTCATGTGGGTATTGACGCCAGACATGTTGTGCACCAGACATGTCGTGGCTGCACAATCGTGAGTAGATGCATCCTGCATGATGGTGCCTGGTACATCTCGTCCCAGGCGTCCGCAATGGGCGCTTGCTGCTGAAGTCGGGCCGCTAGCAGATACTCCGGATTGTGTAGCAGCACGAAGTCCGGGCTCGTGCCAAGCCGCTCCTAGAGAACATCCGTAAAACAAACACAAAATGTGACCTGCAGTGCCTGCAGTGCCTCAGAAGAGCTCGGAGGAAAGGCCGTGCTGTAATCAGATCCAGGGAAAAGAGCAGAGCCCTCGTCATGTTTTGCGGCACTCCTTGCAGGCTCGGACCTCCTCGGAGACGAAAGCAGGCGAAATGCAGTGCCAGTCGTCCTCTCGGAAGCTAAGCAAACCCCAGGAAGGTGTGCTTTCTAAGAAAAATCGAAACAATCAACGTCCTTCAAGTTACAACCGTTGCAGGTGACGGCTTCAAATTGAGAGACGGGCGCAAGGCTCGAAGCATGGAAAGTCCCACCAAGGCTGCAAATCATTGTCCAGAACGCACTGCTACTTGTCTTACATGTGCTGTCCTAACAATAAATCTCTGCCCTGAGTTAAGCAATGCAGCACGATTTATTGGATTGTATAGGAAACCAGCTTCTGAGCTATGCAGTCTCCACGAACACTCTGGAATTTTGTCAGGAGCGCCGAACAAAAGTGATGACAAACGAGAGAATTCGGTGTCATGTGGCACAACTGTTGGCAGGAGCATCCAGCAAAGGTCCGATTGAGATGATTCCCCAACAGGCTGGAATGATTAACTTGGCGAGGTCTTAGGTCAGGCTATGCTGCGTGCTACATCGTCGTTGCCAGCCATGCAGAATACTTCGTCGCGGCTGAGTAGTTCAGCAAGTATCATAGCCGTGTAGCTTCAAGGCTGTTGTATCTCCAGTTGTGCATGGGTCTTCTTCACATGGACACGGTACGAGAGGTTGAGAAAACAAATCAATGACGCACGCCGACCCGACAGAATGTCTAACACACACGGTTCCTTAAACTTGAAAGTAGCCGCTCAGCCAGCCTGGGAGCCACCCTCGCCTTTGTGGGCCCCAACAGGAACCTGAGTCCGCAAGCAACTCCGTCCACTACGCAGCGGGCATCCGAATCCCGGACTTCCCGCAAAGCGGGGTGGCATGGTGTGGCAGCAAATTCTACCCTCTCAATGGCATCTGGCTTTTCAAGAAAGACTCGGCATTCGATACAACCTTCCCGGGAGGTCAGCTGAAAGCATGCAAAGTGTGCTAAGCGGCGAACCAAACCAATTATCAATGCTGAACTCTGAACATGCAATCGGCCATGGTCACTGCAGCAAGGCTGCAGCTCCCTTCGGAGGATCTTGGCCTTTACTCACATGGCCCACCTGGCTTGCGACTTGCGACTTGATGTTTGTTGTACTCAGCCGGAAAATACTTAATACTAAGTTGGGGTGCACCTACAAGCCAGGGGCTTCATTGAGCTTTAGTGACTTTGTGACTTCAGTGCTTGTGCTTGGGCCCTGTGAGTGAGATCGAAACCTCTGATGGATGAAAGGTGATTAGCAATCGTGTTGGGTTTGGCATTGAAGCACGCAGATAGTCGGTGCTCACTTCGACTTTATAAGAGACCGGACCGTGTTCTTGCGCACCAGCCCTTACCAGCAAGGCCTTGACGTGTCTTTGAGAACTCCGAGTGCATCGCGAATCTAGCCGTCCCTTCCCAGGTTGAGAAAACTGCTAGACGGGACACCGTCTGTACAAACCTATATATCATCTTGCAGGAGGGTTCCTTCAGGCTACAATGCGCGGACCTTCGTGCAAACGACGACCTCCTCTCGGCTGAGTTCCTTCGACTCTTCAGCCTGCAGTGGGCACTCACATCCTTGACGTACGCCGGGGCCTACTGAGACTTCCTGATACGGCTCACCGTCCGATGACACACGTGCCGTGTTTGCACCCATTGCATGACGTGCTTCCCGAAGAAGACTCAAGAGCAGTGTGCCTGAAGCCAGAGAATGCGCTGCAACACATCCAGCTACAGAACGATGCCTTAACTCTTTAAATCATTGAGCTTGGGCAATCGGAAAAACCAAAGTATGGATTTGCAGCAGTGCCTCACGAAGTACACGGCCCACGAGACGCTCGGAAAGGCCGGAGGCGTAGTGACTTGAGGTGTCCACCACATTCATCACCTCAAACTCACTCGTCGCTTCAATTCACATAGGCGTGCTGTGCTGCAGTTTCGTCTCGCCTTGTTACGTATCTGGCACATAGATGGTGTTGCGTCCCCACAACCTTGCACATAATGATTGGATTGGGACGTCCTGGATTCCTCACACTCCAGCATCTGCATGGCCTAGCCCATAACTCCCCCCTCCGCCCATGGTGTGGTACTGCTTGGGGGGTGGGCGGGCGGCCGGCCCGCTATTAGGGTTTTTGTCACAGTGACGCAAATTGAGACACTCGATGCATTGGACCCCCCATCTCGTTGACTTCGCCACGTAGATCTAACAAGACATGCACAGCAGGAGTAGGCGAGGCTTGGAAATCTGATCCTGTGTCAATAGCCAGCTTGCATTCATGGCCATGTCACTTTGAGGGCTTGTCGCAGAGCTGGTACTTGTGCCTCCGACTCTAGTCGGTACGCTCCGAAGCCCACCTCCAGGACTCTTAAGGTCTGTGCAGTCGAGGCATGAGCCACGCTGGCATCTACAGTACTTTGAGGTTTGGGCTTGGCACTGGCTGTTCGCCTGGGTCTCACCTCGTATTTGGCCGCATATTGACAAAGGCCAGACCCGGGCAAGCCACATAACCAACGCGTCTGCGTCATGTACATGTCGGTCATATGTCTGCAACCTCGCAATCTACAAAGCAGAACTTGCCGGAAGCCCACCGCAGTGCAGGCGAAGGGTCCCAGCTGCCGTGCATTGGCAGCATGCAGGGCCTGATCAGAGAATTGCCTTCTATCAAGCTTAGCCGCTGAAGCGGTTGCCTCCACGCGGTTCCGAATCAACCACTTGTCCTACCGTGTATCTCCCTTAATTCAGCTCCTTCCCTGGTTCACGAGTTCTCTTTCCATGCTGTGCTATGCTATGGAGAATTCGTTTGACGGCTCAACGACAGACCAAGTCAAGACATGCGAATGCTGGATGTCCTAGGCAACATAAACATACGACCTGTCAAGCACAGACCGCACCCGCTGCAGATGAAAGCATGCTCTGTGAAGATATAGAATCTGTTCAAAACGGGGAGAAGGAGCCCTTTCTGCTTGCCGGCAGATAATATGGATGTGTTCTGTCCCCCCTCCATCCGTCCCGTTGCTTTCTCTCGGGGTGTGTTTTGGCGGAGCAAGGACTCGTCTGCCCGTAAGGACGGAACCATCGCACCCTTTTCTACCTTCACCCAGCCCTCAGCCTGACGCCCCGCGGCACGTTGCAGAAAGCGTCGAGTCCCTTCAACCGATGCCATGGATGCCACAGGTAGGGCGAATAAAGATGTAGGTCTCGGAACTCGAGGCCGAAGCGATCGGTGAATTATCATACGGTTTGGCTTTGGCCGCACGAGCCGACCTCACAAGTCACACGAGACCGTCGTCGACCTGCTTGAAGCTTGCCTGGGACTCTACCCCCTTCAGAAGTTATGCAAAAAGACTGTGTTTGGAGGTTTATAGATAAGAAAGTGCGTGTGTGTGTCTATATATATATATATATATATATATATATTAGTCTTATTCACGGGCTGTGTACAGGAGATGGTTTTGAGTGAATGCCTAGGGTAGAGCTGATTTTGAGTCTCTGTTTGCCAATGTTCCTGACGACCTTGCAGCGGCTGCGGACATGCGACAGTGTATATAATAGGAGTACGCAAAAGTAGATCGCACAAATGCGAACCGCGTGTGCGGACGAAGTGGTTACACTGCTAGTGGCAACCTATCGTAGCTGATTCCAGATCGTGACTGACATGAACTTTCCACTTTCAAGTGCGCTGGGCAGGGCCACTGAGATTTGCCCACAGTTTGGCCTGTACACTGTACAGAGCACACAATATTTGCTTTTGCACTTCCAAAGGAGTCACATATCCGCTCGACATCAACCCTCTGCGTTGAGGCACAGTCCAAGCCCTTAGAGAAGTCTTCCCACAGTGGATATCTTGGACCCTTCGGCACGAAGCACTGCCAAGAGACGAAAGTGCCCGCTTGCGCTTGTCCCGAGCAATCCGGCCCTTGACTCGCGACTTGCTTTGCTAGATGGCGAAGGACCGTCGAGCGCGGCAATGAGTCTGCGCTCCGTGCTTCAAGGATATACATGAGATGAGTTAACGCTCCGACTACGAGTGCGAACTTCGCGGAAGGCATTCTTTCAAGTGGACGGTGCTGCTCGGGTAGCGTTCAGGCAAGAGTGAGCTTTGACTTCAGGCGGCCGCCGTTGCGTAAACGGCATCGAAGGCCTGGAGCAAGGTAGGAGCGTAGGAATGCGTAGAAGCAGCAACGTTTGAACATGTTTGCACCGACTTTGCAAGAGCCGCCAGTGCACAAAATATCGAAGTGGCCAGAAATGCTGTGGTGGAGCTCCACGCCCAAAGCCCTGGCCCCAGGAAGGGCCTTCTCGAGGCGTCCCAGGGCATCATCAACGTCCTGGGGTCCGACCTGAGGACAGGCTATAGGCTATAAGTTTTGCAAATGCGCTCAATTATTTCTGTTCTTTATGTCCGCGCATGCAGCGCCATGTCTAGCTAGCCACAAGTCTGCGCAAAGGCTACAAGGCATCTGATGGAGAAGAGCTGCTTGCTCGCGCAGGGGTGTGGAGTTTTGACGGCTTTGACACGGTTCGAAGACCGAGACTTCAGAAGCCAAAACACCGATTCCGAGCAGCCGGGCTGTTGAACTATCATGAATGGTGCCATACGGTACGTCGTTCAGCCCCTCAAGTCGGAAACTCTCCGACTCAGTTGTCCCGGAATGCATAAGCCAGCCGGGCTAGTAACATACAATATCTGCCCGTGTCTGCTCCCCCTTGCCCATAGCAGAAGTGCTGCATTGCTCTCACGCGCTCACTTATCGACTCGCTGCCTCGCCTGTGGCACCCAAAGATCCGCCGCCAAGTCACCGTAAGTGCGGGGGCGATGCGAAGCACGTTGCCTGCGCCCGCAGTGAGCACCTCAGGCTTTATAAGGAGGATGCAAGTTCTCCGCCCTCCAAAAAGGAAGCGCATAGACCGGAGGGTGATGATTTCATGACGCCAACAGCTCTGCAGCTCCACAACACAATGGCCAGCCAAGTGGCCAGGAGTTTCTCTTCGGCGGCCTCGAAGATGGCCGGCTTTAATGAGGCGACGCAGGGTGTTGCCGTATGCTTGGGTTCGAGGTCGCAGCTATGGGTCGAGGAGTGGGTATGGGCAGCACCTGAAGGAACCTTCGACAGCCATTTCATTGACTCCGATTCCTGACATGCGATTGAATTATTCGAGCGACAGCTCGAAAGCCAAGATATGGAAGCCACATCATTGAGAAACGCTGAAGTTGCTCAAGCGGGACTTGAAAACTGACTAAGGCCGTGCTTATAACGATGGCCATGTGTTTCTGACTCAGAATTGCAACGACATTGCTAAGAGTGTTCACGCTCGCGGAATTTCTTTCACACGTTAGATGCCGCATCGGGGAGGTAGAAGCAGCGCTAGCGTTCGTCGAATATGCGAAACTTGGAGCAATCTAGCGCGCGAGCAGACCGTCATCTACTTATTACTGCCAGCTTCTCGCCTTCTTCTGCACGGCACCACAGGTCTCAGCGGAGTCGAACCTGGATTCGGTGGTCTCACAGCGTCTCGTTCTCGGCTAAACACACCCGGAACCTCCAATCTGAAATTTCTACAATCTTCAAAACAGCAGCCCTTCAAAATCAGATCCGGCGAACTACAGATCTCGTCTTTTCGGTATGGCGACGTGGTAGCATGGCCCAAAACTCAATCGTGCAAAGTTACGCCCTACCGTTCTGCTTCCGACATCGAAACATGCATCCAGTCCGGGCCCTGCTCTGTAAACCATCCACGGCACACGATGCCCAGAAGAAGCCCGGTGCCGCGAACAGCAAGGCCATGCGGTTCCTTAAGCACCAAGTTCGGCTCAGACCGTTCAATGGATTCGAACTGCCGAAGCCCATCGCTGCAGTCTCATTAAAGCAACCCTTGAAGCTTGAAGCGTTCCTTTGCAGCGCAGTGCCCAGCAGCCCGGCATGCAGCTTCTGTCTGCCGAGACGCGGCCAGCTTCTCAAGGCCGGCTTTGAGTCGGGCGCCTGTCTCCTCAACCTCACGTCTCCAAACAGGACTGGGACTCGGATCTCGACGCACAAATCAAGCAAGGGCCCTCTTGCAGCCGCAGCAGCATTCTTCAGAAAGCTCTCCTGGGCCACTCGGCCCACCACGTAGCGGGCCGCCGAGCAGACAAGCGGAGCGCCTGGCACAGGAGCACCCCGGGAAGTTGCTTCCAACAGGCTTCAAGTAAGGCGAGGAGGTTCAGCATTATTCGGGTGCCTGTCTTCGGGATGTGATAAGGGGGGGCTGCTTCATGCATTGCCTGCGAAGGTGCTTCCATGATCGCCTGGATTGATGCAGGCCGCCACTTCCTTCACAGGAACTTAGACAAGAACATGTCAAGCAACGGGAGCAAAGGCTTCCTCGAAAGCACTCCGTTGCCGTTCTGGACGGCAGCCTGCAGGTGCTTAGCAACTTACAAGCTGTTCAGCATACCGCTTACCCGAAAACTGGCTAGGCTCATCTTGGACGATCCATCCCCCAGCCACGAGACATCCTGGAAGATCACAAAGCACAACCAATACAACTCACGAACTCTTGGGTCAGCATCAATATGCCATCCGTCCTCCGTCAGCAGCACAGCGCCAATGGGCAAGCCACCTGCACAAGTCCACCGAAACCCAGCATAGCAACGACCAATACAACCGTGACTCAGTATCCATGAACCGACTTGTGACACCGTCTTCGAGTGTGGCAAAGAGAGAAGCTAAGCCTAAAAGGGAACCTCTGTCACTGCTTTCTGGCGACGGGAAACGAATGAGACCTGCAAGCGGCTTTGCCAGGGTCATCATGTCAGGCTTCACGCCTGACAGCTCCTTAGCTGGCACTGCACGACGTGTTGGCAGTAGCATAGCGCGCCATGGGAAGTCACGGTTTCAGAGACATCATGTTGTGCTTTGGAAGTACGAAAGATGCACGGAAACAGTCGCATGCTAGCCGCTGCTAGCCAGTACCATACAGTTCCTTTATGACATTACCTGCATACTGCACAGCAAAACAGCCGGCCAGAAAGGATGAAACGATGACAGCACTGCTCTTCTGGAGCTTCTTGCGTGCACGTTGGCTTCGTGTTGACGAAACCCGAGGATCCAACTGGCAGGAACCAAGTAGAGATCGAGATCGCACAGAAGTGCAAGCAGAAGAAACGCGCCTTCATTACGAGTACAGCGTATAGCGAACCATGGGGAACCCTGTATTGAAATTGCGCCTACAATTCTGAGATGTCTCGAGTGGAATCATCTCCAATGGCTTTTGCCCACAAAAGTGTGGATAAACGAATGAAACAGGCCTTACATCGAAGCACCCAGTTCTGAAGGACGGCTCAACTCTGGTCTCACTTGCTCCGAAAGGCGTAGGCGAAAAGCTTGCCGCTCCGGCCGAGCCCACACTGCACCTATGTTTCGAAAGTTCGAGAAAAGTCGAGACTCTCATTTGAGCTTGGCCTGCTTTCTTTGGGACCTCTGGGTTGCAGTCAATTGTTGCCATGTGGCTTCTACCCTTCTTCCACTGCGGGACGTCCGAGCCTCGAGAAGAAAACCTGGTTTTTAAGCCCGACTTGGTGTGGGCGGGCCGTCTATGCTTGGCCCCAAAGCAGTAGCCATGACCTTCAACCTAACACACCAGCTCTGCTAGTTCATCCTCCAACACGGCCTTTTTTCCGGCACCCTTGAACGGTGCGGCGACCCGCGACCTCTCAAAAAAACCGACGGATGGGAATTCTGAATCAGGGATTTCTCTCTTCGAGGCCTCGCCTCGTCAAAAACCAGCAGCGCTCCCACCTGCGCCAGGGCCCGGGGCAGGGCCGCCAAGGGCCATTCTCACACGGGACGTTTGAAAAATCGCCCATGTCTGTGCCACATAAAATTACACCACAAAGAAGGGTGGTGTGTGAGAGAGAAGAGTTCTTTCGAATTGCTCCTTCCTTGGATGAAGTAGGAAGACGCGTCGAGATGGTCGATGTTCAGCGGAACGGTCGGAGCATTCCTTCGCGCCTCGTCGCAGCGCTTTCGCAGAGCCGTCATGAACCTCAGAAGGAGTTTCTCAAGCTCCTGCCTGTTTCTCAGCTGGCCCGTGGCAATTTCAGCATGGTGCGGAACACATTCCGCATGAGAGGCTTGTAAGATTTCTTTCATGTACCGAGCCTTCCAGTTACACAGTGTTAGATTAGACTCTTGACAGGTGCGAGGTTGCCGTTTGCACTTCACATCTGCACCCAGCGCTTAATGCCGGATGCGTCCTTGCATGCCACAGGCATGGCCTGGTACATGTGCGTCCTTTGTCGCTGACAAACGGCCGTGCTGCTCTGCGTCGCTTCTGTCACAGGGCTGCAAAACAACAAGCAATGAGAAGTCGATCATGGGAGCAACCTCGCAAAAGTCGCAAAGACCCCGCTGCCTCAAGCCAGAGATGCATGGGCAGTGCTAGGGTTCCACTATCCTCATCCTCTCGAACATCATTTGATTGAAAACCTGATCATGTCTTGACAGTACCTGGGAACCAACCGACTTCACCGCGTGCCAGGTGGCTCGACAGTTCCAGGAACCACGCCACCCTCTCCCTGAATGGGCTCCACAAACCTCGAGAAAAGCTTCCATCGGAGTTCTGGAGACACCCCTCAGGCAGATGAGGCTGCAGGATCAGCAGTGTGGCTGTGATGCTTGTCGGGCCGTCGTTTGTTTGTGGGGGAAGGGGGGACGGTGGCGACAAAAATACAATTCCACTTACTGCGACGTTCCCAATATGTCATGAGGTCATACTGTTTGTACGAAGCCACCGCAATGCACTGAAGAGCTCTTGTCTACAACGCTGGAGAAACGGAAGCAGCGACAACTTCATCTGCATTCACCCAGATCACCGTCTATGCAACGTTGAAGCTCCAGGACACAGCTGAACATCTTCAACCTCATTCTTAGCTGCGCACCCAAAGGGCCCTCGAAACCCCAAGCAAAAGACTCTATCGGGTCCAAGACTCACGGCGCAGGTAGTCTCGTCGATGGCCTCCAGCCCCTGCGATCGTCGGGTCGAAGCTACACGGCTGAACGGTGTGGCCTCGCCGTCATTAGTGACAACGAAGGCATAGATTGGATTTCTAGCGCTGGTTCGAATGCGCAACTTTGCACTCTCCCCGCAGAATGTTCAGTATGAGTGCAGCAGGTATCGTGGAGCATGCTACGGCTTTCCCGGATTCTCTTGGACCAAGACTTCAACTATCATGCCCTGCACAGTGCAGTGCCCACGTCCTTGTTCCGCCGTCTTGATGGAAGTGACCCCTAATCCTGCTTCCATCTTTACGTGCTCACCCGAAACAGGTATCCGAGAATCCCGAACTGTTGGAGACATCGCATGGTTATGAAAGCACAAGTCTCGATGATCCAACCCAAAGAACCTAAAGTCCCTGTGACTTCCGACTACGTATGACTTCGGCCTCGACTTCATTGAACTTCAGGAAGGATGCAGAGGGCATCACCGGCTGGAACGGGGTCTTGTACCCTTCCTGCTCTCACAGGCAGGGGTTTGAGGGTGGGGCCACAAGTCGAGTGACCATGAACTGTGGTAATGAAGACATGAGAGATTTTGACTGTCATGTGTGGAGATTGTGCGGCAGCATCTGCAGATGTACATCCGAATGACAATGCTGCAGTTCCTCCGTGCTGTGTTACTTATGCACTCAAGAATCGCTCCAATCGCTTGCAGCAACCGCGAAGGGGCGTCGCGAAACGGATCAGTCTCACCTTCTGCGCGCATCCTTTAGCGATAGCAAATGGCTCCTTCCATGTCAGCGAGAGGGCTCCCATCGTGCGGCCGTGGAATGCATTCCTGGCAGCAGCAAATTCAGTAGCGAACAAAACTGGATGCATGCATGCTTCTGTTGCTCCTCTATAGACTGTAGAGTGCAAATGTTCGCGTGCATGTTCGTTCATCTGCATCCATGCACGGAAAGTTCTATGTGTATAACATATATGTATGTGTATATATATACGCACATACATACATACATACATACATACATACATCATACATATATGTGTGTTTATTTACTTGCTTTCTATTTACAGAGAATGATTCATTTAGACACTACTGATTTATTCATCGACATTCACATCTTCGTTTGCATACATACAGACCTTGACCGATGGTGTGATGCAGGCCGTCAACTCACACTTCGTGCTCGCAGCATGCCAATGGTCCGGAGGCACAGAAGATGAAGTCTACTTCAGAATCTTGGTCCCGCAACGTCCCGCATTCCAGCGGCGGATGTCAGCATATATTGTTGCATGGGTCGGTTGGAGGGACAGCTGCCTCTGCAGAAGAAAACTCAATCCTATTCAGACCCATGCACTCAAGTCGGGTGCACGGTGCTGTACATAAACATGGCTGTGCGACTCGAAAGCGATAAACTTTTCTCGCGGTGCACCCTTCGCGAAGTGAAACTTGCGAGAAAACCTCGGGTCCATGTCTGTTGCAAGCGACACTCTCCTGGGTAATTAGTGTACTTTCAGCCTGCCACAACACAACCTAAAGCACCCCTCAGAAGGGTACAGCTCTGCCCCCTTCCCAACCTACTTCCGCCGTTCATCACCAGAGCTTGCCTGTGAAGTGAGGCCTGTCAGCTACGAATCCCGCCGCTGCAACCCCCAACCCAAGCTGGCGTTCTGAAACCGCTGAGTGGCTTGATTGCCGCCTCGTTTGCCTCTGTACCGGAGTTGCAGAAGAAGGCCTGCCACACACTTGGAGCTTCCGCACCGTAAGCTCAGGTGCTCAGTGCTCGGGGAGCAATGAACCGGATAAAACCGTCCCCAGAAGCACAATTTGCCGATCCTTACTCCCATCCCGTACAGGCCTTGTCGGCGAAGGAAATCTCCACCAAAGTTTCTCCCAGCCTCACCTGGTCTTCGTTCCTCGGTGCAGACCACATCCCAAAAGCGGATCGTGTGGCGTTGCCAGCCGGCGGATTCTTAAAGTACAAGTAGGTGACCAATGTGCCGTGAAGGAGGTTCGGCCCCGACGTCTCTTCGAATCGAACCCCGCCGCGCAGGCTGCGCACCTGTCATCCTAAGATATCCTAAGCATCCCCGGCAACAAGGCTTGCACAAAGAAGCAGCGCGGTGTCGACCGACTCGGTTCACATTCACAGATCTCTTAGCTCCGCATAGAGTCGCACTAGGACACTGGATGAGGAGAGTTGATGCTCTTGCTTAGATGGTCCAGGCTGGGCCTCAACCATCGGCCCCAGAGACGTATGCTGTGCTGGCGAGTCTCAAATAAAGGTTGGAGGTATGGCAGAGCTTCGAGGCGTTCTTGGCGACCACCTGGCCATAAAAGCTGTCAGAAAGACTAGAGCTGTCTTCACGCGGCTTTCGCTGCATTCTAGACGTCCAGGCATCTTGGAAAATTCCCAAACTGCCAAGCTGGAGGCGAGGACTATATTGATCATGGGGCTCAAGAAGAGCAATATGTTGATTGATGCTGAAGTGTCATTCGTGAATGTGTTTGTACCGGTGCTGGGGCGTCCCTCCAAAGCCCAAAGACTTTAGAGTCAAAGGCGTTGGAAACAAGCACAGATGCACAGCCCACCTGGGCCCAGCCCTCGTCGCTATGACCCAGGCAGTTGACGGCGATCCTGGATCCCATACAAGTGTCTGGGTCACTCAACAGCATGGGCTGACCATGCAGTTCTGGAAATATTTGCAAAGGCCTTCTGTCGTTGCTTGCCACATCTTTGTACAGGAAGCGCTTGCTGGTTTGCAGGTAGTTTTTCGGAAGTCAGCCCTTACCGAACATAACGCAGCCTTGCGCCGGGCTAGATCGGCACATACTCCAGAGGATATCAGACTTGTTAGCGGCATCAATCCCGGTCTCTCGCCAATCCTCCGGAACAGCTTACCAGTCTCAGCAAAAAGTAAAAGGTTTGCGCTGCAAAGGTTCCCCGCCGTGAAGTCCAGGTACTCTTCTCCTTCGGGATCCTTCACGGCACTTGGTTCTTTGGAGCTGCGTGCTGGTGCTCTTGGGAATTGAAGAGTGCCAGTGGCCATCTGGGAGTTTGCCGGTGCCGGTATGCTTCCTTGCCATCCCCGGTCGAAGGCTACAGATCACCATCCAAGCCAAACTGATATTGAACTTTCTCAAAATTCCAGGCTCTAGCGCTGCTGTGCCCAACTTACATGTGACGACAACCTCAAGCCCAGGTCTCAGACACAAAAAGGCAGGGCTGGGGCCGCCAAATTTACAAATCTACAAAGCTGGGGTTGCTACTGCTACTGTTAACAGACTCAGGAATGAAAGGCACAACACAGACACGACAAGCAAGGCAAGCACGAAAAGCAGACGTTGCAAACAGAATGGGAGCAAACTTCAGAGCAGATCAGGCTTGCACAGGAAAGGTGCAAGCCTGACACGACGTACGTGTTGCAAACAAGCTCTGATAGGATCGGCACAGAGCACGCACGACTCGCACAGGCTGCGCGGGGTATCCCTTCCTGAAGTTTCGTGGTCCCACAACTCCGAACACTCGAACTGGTGGTGTCAAAGGCTCCTTGAGGATGTGGCCCTGACCGGACGTGAACGCCAGTTGCCTCTCCCCATAGTTGTTCAAGAGGTTCCTGGGTCGCTCTAGGGAGGGTGGTCACTCGCTGCAAAGGGTTCTTACGGTGCCCACGGTCCTGGCATCTCCTGGGGTTCGTTGGTCACTGCTTGATTCTAGCCGAGCTATTCACGTTAACAACCAGGTCAACTGATGAGCTAGGGGTGTGACACCTACTCTTCGTTAGACTGCCTCTGATCTCCAGGCCTCTAGGCCTCCACGCAGCAGCATAACTTAACAGATTCATTCATATTCATTCAAAACGGGCCCCTTGACGAGGAAATCAAGGCGCTATTGACTCACAATGAGGAGGCATGTACGAATCAGCTGCAGTGTACCGGCCTTGCCGCTCTGGCAGGGCGTCTCCTTTCAAAACTGCTCTCGTTTTTGACGGACGGGAAGCTTCTTGGCGGCTTCACGGAGCTCTGCGGTGGATGCCGCGGATCGTGCAACAACCTTCACACGGCAACACAAGACGAGGCTGCTCAGGACGTGTGGTGGGCAAAAGAGAATTGGTATTGAGATGTGTTCACTCCAAGCTCCTTGCCTTGCCTGGGAGCTTTGTATCTGTGGTTCAGTCTGCTAAGATCGCAGCAACCTCCCTCAAATACCAGTATTCGCGGTGACAAGCCGCCGACTCCTCAACCCAGATGCCACTCACAAAACGACCAGCCTTCGCTCGGCGTCCGACTGCTGCCAGACCAAGCACCTTCGCTGCCACTCTGCTCGCGTATCTCCGCACTTCGCACTTCTGGCCCCAAGCCGTTTAATGTGCGTGAATATGTGTTCGCAGCAGAAGTATGGCACACGTACTACAGGCTGCATCTGCCTGCAGTTTGTTTCAGGGGAGAGTAATCTCAGAGGTCACTGAGAGCGAGGGTGTGAGGTCGTGGAATGAAATGCAAGATGAAACCGCCTCTCGCTTGTGCTAGACAAGGCCGCAAAGCCTCTTAAGGTCCTCGACGATTTGCGAATCCCCAAACCCGTGGTCACGAAGACCTCGAGACCAGTTCTGAGTCAGATCTGAGTGATGTGCTGCGGCGAGGGTCGCTTTGCTGGTCGATGGGCCGCTGGTGTCCGACTTCGTGCTCCTGCGGGTGGCGGGACTTGAGAAATGGTATCGATCTGCCGACTACGAGGTACTGACTGCCAGCGTTCAAAATCGCCACCGAACCAAGCTACAGAGATGACCACGCAAGCGGTGTCGAAACCATTTCCGGGGTGACAGTGACAGGGAAACGCATGCATTGCTGATCGAGACCTCTTCAAGATCTAGCGAATTCGAAAACCCACGAGGTTCCCAAAGTCAGCCTACGTGCGCAAGAGTTGTGAATGCATGCTGTCAGTTGGTTGAAGATGTAGCAGCCCTAAAGGACAAGACAAGAAGCGACACGCGCACTCTACATGCGCTACGAGTACAACCGGTGCTTAATGGCACTTGTCGCTCTTCTTGAGTACTTCGCACGAGCTTGTAGAAAACCAACTTTCCGTGGTCTTTTGCAGACATTGCGGGAAACGACACGGTGTACGATAACACCCATGCATTTCCTTAGACTTGCTGCGCTAGGGAAATGCTGCTGGCCTGACGGTGGGCAAGTCCCTGCACGTTTTTTGGTCTACTTAGTCAACTTGCTAGGAGCAATTCCCTGGAGCTCCAACTCCCGAAAGGGACAAGACCAAACTAAGAACTTTACGGGCTCTGCAGAGCTCGCCCGAGCTCCTGCTTCCAGTTGAAGCAGCGAAAGGCGCAGCGCTCGCTGAGTGAACCCACGAAGCCGGGGCCGCCAAAGCCATCGCTGGGAGATACGACGAGTACGACGAGTACGAGTAGTAGCAAGACACATGAAACAGACCTCAAAGTCTGTCGGACGGCCTTTGGCTTCTAGACACATCTACACATTTGAGTAATTCTCAAAGACGGGCTCGTCCGATGCATGCTTCCTTGGTTGCAACAGGGTCCCCCCGCTGCAAACGGCTGCTGTTTCGGAACGGCTGTGCGACATCAACAAACACCTTCATCCAGGAGGAAGGCCCAAGATCCAAGCAGCATCTTATGCTTCCTCAGGCTTCTGTGAAACGTTAGAATAAGGACACTTCAACACTTGCCCACACCATAAGAGCTTTCTGACGTGCTGATGCTCCTTGTCGCACTAACATCAAACTTATAGTGCTGTGGATCTGGGGAAATGCACGACGCTGTCAGCAGAGGCAATCTCAAGGTGGATGACACCACCCTAGGCTCTAGGCATCTTCCCGGGACCGGTTCAACAAGCCTTGCCAGTGCTGGACCTCTGGGCCTCTGGACAGAGCCCAGGCCTTTCCAGGATGCTGTTCCTGATCTCCGTTCCGTCGGAAATCGTTAAGCACCCGACTGTCCACAAAGAATCCAGGCAAGAAGGCTAGCCTCGTCTGTACCACTGGGATCCGACAAAGTGGGGGGGGGGGGGGGCGAATGGATGCAAAACCGTGAAGGATGGATAAGATCGGCTTGCCCGTGCACTTCTGCCGACGTCCGAACAATTTATGGATGTACCTGGGATGCTTATACAAGGCCAGGGTGCCACGGCGATCTTCCGGTGGCTATCGTGAATTTGCCTAGCGGCAGGCAACTTCGTTGCCATACACGGCTGCGATTCCAACAACGATTATGTTCGATGTTGCCAAGCATGCCGAGCGCATGCCTTCGACAAGCAGCCTGTGCAACGCGGTCAAGGACTGGCCATCTTTGCTTTCTTTTCGAGCTTCTATGTTGGCCCTTGCCAACTCGGAGGCTCTGTGGTGAAACGCGGGCACTGAAGGGCTCCCCTCGGGGCTCCATCGGCCACAGTCCTTCGATCATGTTGAATAGCCAGAGACGTGCTCCAGGCTCAACAGAACCAGCCGGACCTGAAATTTGAAAGTGTTCTATGAAACTTCATACAGTTTACACCTCTTGAGCGAACGAGGAAGGAGACAGACAAGGTGAGCTCAAGGAGACTGGAGCCTGGGTCTCTCGAAGAATGTCTTCTGCCGTCTTCCCCCGAAAGTTCCGAATATCCAAGAGTGCACCCGCCTCAAGGAGGATCGAGGTAGCTCCGAATTTGCCAGTCATAATGCTGAACATCAGCCTTGTTGCACCGCGATGGTGGTAGGCCAAGTAGGTCAAAGCAGAGGAGCTGAAAGAGGGACAGCCAGCCCCTTCAGAAGCATCCACCAAGAGCCGTTGATGCCGGCTGAAGCCTTGATCAAAGAGCGGATCGTGTCGCCATCGCCGACAAAGGCAAGAGCAAAACGCAAGCTGAATCGCAAACTGACCGAAAAGCATCTCATGATCTCCTGCATGCTCTGCAGGCTGTCAAAGCAGCTAGCGAGTTTAAAAGCACTTGCACCCGGAAAAGCCCACACTCTTGGATCGATCCCTGCCATCCAAAGGATTCGTACTGCATCAGCGTTGTTGTATGCAGCAGCCACACTGAGAGCGGTGCCACCAAAATGATCACGGGCTTTGACACTGGCTCTTGCTGATAGAAGGTGCTTCATGACCCTGTTGCTGCTGAATATGGAGGCGATGGACAGGACCGAGCCCTTTCTGCTGATGTGCGCATCCTCCATCGACTCAGAACGGAACGACACGGCAAAGGGTACGCATACCTGCTAGCTAATATATTGAGCACGCACATCCTGCGCGGAATGGCTGTGCTCCACCTGGACCGAGGAAATCATTGGAATCTCGTAAACAGCATCTGCACAGCACGTAGTGCGCTTCCATGCAAATGCTGGAGACACAAGGATACGTATCCCAGCGTCAGACGACAGTCAATGTTGGAGTGTGTCGACATTAGTAATGCCGCAGCAACATTGCCGTAATTTCCGGCAATGTTGCTGAATTTCGCTATCAAGTCAACAGTGGGCCGCAATTGTCATGCTTCTGCTTCTTGGAAGGACAGCGAGGCATGTGAAAACGGAAGGACCAGCAGAAGGGCTTCAGAGAAACAAACAGAAACTACAACAAACGATGTAAACAAGGCGAAAGACTGTCTTTCCGATCCGGTGACCCGTCCTTCTTCTCCTTGGTCGCGACCTCATTGGCATCCGCCCTGCTCCTCAAAAGCGACTCCACCAGAAAGGTGTCATCTCTCAGAACTGCATAGCACAGGGGCGACCACCCGTCTTCGTCCCGGTCCTTGACGTTCTTAAAGCCATTCTCATGCAGGAACCTAGCTACCACAAAACCAGCTGGATCCGTAAGCGGGTCAACCTCCGTGGAAAAATTCGGCACGACATTATACGTGGCATCCACCGACCCCAGTGCCTGCCAGGTATTGATGTTGGACCAGCATCATTCTGTACTTGGGGTAATCGCGCCTGATGAGAAAGGAGTGCAGCTTACTCCAGATCATTCTGCTCATGACAGGTCCCATCTTCTCCTTGTCTGCTTCAAAGCTGAACGATCCCTCTCCCGGAGAAGCGCTACAACCCACCCAGTTGCCGAACCTGGGCGGGCCTTGAAGCAATCTCCACAGAGATGGTGTAGCCATCTGCGCGGGTCATGTCCCGAGCAACCCTTTCAAACCTGCACCAACCACACCTGCTCCAAGTTTTGAAGCTCAGTCTGTGCCCCTGCTCGTGCTTGACAGCAGGGCTGAGGATCAAAAAGAAGCACCGGGAGATGTAAGAAGGAATAGACCCAATCGCAAGCTGTCGATCCGCAACAGCAGAAGTGTTCCAGCCCTGTGGGATACAGAAATAATCGTACCAAATGTACAACTTCTTTGCATCAACGTCAGCTGCCGTTGGGCACTTGAAGCGACCAAACCAAAGCTCGATGGCTGGTGAAAGACTCACCCGACTCGCACCTGACATGATGTTCTCCAGCGCCATCTGCAAAGTGCGAAGCTGCTCGAAATTAGGATCCGGATGTCTGGCGCTGAGCCACTGGTGAGACACGAACGCTGCTTTGCCCATGCACTCGCAGAACTTGCAAACCACACCCCTTTCCAACAGGTCTTCGTGCGTCCGTACCTGTGTCATCTTCAAAAATGTGGCAGAAGGCATTGCCATCATCGGGAACTTCTCGTCAAGGTCGGCTTGAATCGCAGTGGATCTTGCCAGCAAGGAGGCTCCATACTGCTCAAAGGCACTGCGATTCATTAAATGAGCTCAGCAATCGCTGAAACAGTCCTGGGCCATAAATGCTAGTGAATCCCGAGTGGAAGCAGCTGGAGCAGCTAGGCAGGCGAAGCTTTACCAAAGAGCTTCAATCGAATGCAGTCTTCGCATCCGTGGCAGCAGCCTTTCACTTACCCTCTTCAATTGACCCTCAGAGCCGATGGCCTCAGTGAAAAGCTGCCCAGCACGCTTCTCGAAGCACTCGGCATCCAAGGCCTCCGACAGAGAGCCTCCCGAGATGGAGTGACTTTAACTCCAGGCTTGGCTGGCGGACACTCGCACGGAGCTTTCCAGAGTTACATGTTCTTTTCACTCCTTTATACACGGTAGGATTCGGTGCGGACCTCACTCCGTGATTCGCCTCAACCATTAGGAAGACAAGGTTCTATTCTGTGTAGCACTTGTAGGCCCTACCCAAAAACTCGAGCCGCTGGCCCAGCCCCATCTTTAAAGACATGACAGCATTGCATGACGAAAATTTGCCAAGGTGCCCCATCCCTTCGAGACCTGCAATGCGACCTTGGCGCTGGTGGAGGCCGCGGCACATGGGTTCAAAGCAACGCTGCTGCATGTCCGAAGCATTGCCTGCATCCCAAACATTCGAGGGACTCAATACCGGAAACATCTGGAAGTGGATTCTGAATGCCCAGACTTGCGAAAGCACCCAGTCACTGTCAGCCATGGGACCGGAGAGCCGAAGCCGCGGGCCTCGAGAATCACGCTTTTAAAGACTCGGGGGCGATCCCGCTGACAGAGTCGTTTCCAGGTCCCCCAGACAGCAGGGAAGGAGTACTAAACAACTCTGTGGATTCTGAAGCTGGAATCTGGTGAGACTGCCAAAGCTCCATGCGCTCGCCTTCCACAGCTGCACGAGACACTGCCCATCGCTGGTTTCCGCAAGAAGCTGTGCCAAGGATTGAAGAAGAGCGCCTGAATCATGGTCGAGGCTTCAGGTTCGATGTCAATGCTCGGTAAGGGTCGATTCAGACTTCATTGTCGAGTGCCGCCAGCCCAACAGCCTAGAGTATGCCCTGCCTCTCACCTTCGAGTTTACACGTAGGTCAAATGCCGACTGGGGTTTCGGCACGCGAATATGGCTGCAATGCTACAGAGTGGAGGTGGTTGATCTCCTGTGATGGAAGAAATCTGCTTCTATTACCTCTCCCTGCACCCTGCCCGTGCAGCATCCAGCGACTTAGTGTGAAAGGCAAATGCGGCGAAGGCCATAAAATAGGGACCACCGGACCACAGTCCACGGCAGGCGCTGCGAACCGATGCACTGTCAAGGCACCCCATGCCCGCTCACAAATCATGATGTCGTCGAAGGCCTCCTTGCAAAAAAGCGCAGGCGCAGGCACAAGCAGCCTTGATCAGCCTTGCAGCTGCAGGCCGGAAATGCATAGATGTCTTATCAAACTCAAGCTGTACTTTATTCTGAATCGTCGCATACTCGTACTCCTTCATGCGCCATTCCATGTCCGCCTCGGTCATCCGTAGGAAACCTGAGCGGCTCTGAAGGGACGAGCCGGAGCCGAGTTTTGATCCCGGCTTTGGCCGAAGTCGCTGCGAACGGACCTGCTGACACTCCAAAAGTAAACGCAGCTCCGGCACTCTCCACCACCGGCGCCACACTGCCCTCTGCAAGGCCCACGAGGGCACATCCAGCACGGCAGAGCGCTACCTGCGAAGGCTTCTAAGGCTGAAGCTCCAGAAGTTTCTGCTGTAGCTGCGCGAGCTTTCCAGCTTTCGCTTGGCACTGTCGGGAATCGTAGCATCACCGGGTTCTGAGCCTTGTTCTCTCGCATGTTCACGCAACACGCATCAAGAGCGCGTGAGAAGCACACTTCGGGGCTCAGAAAGAGCCACCAACAACCCTTCAGCAGCCACAACCTCTGAAACTCTCCTAAGCCAGCCTAAACATCCTCGAAAATCCCGACTCCCGAAGCCAATCAAATCCCCCACTCATGCGAAACCATTCATGCTTCAGCGATCCGAGACTTCTCTATTCCTTCTGCCTGAAGCCAGAACTTCATGAGCTTGAAAGCGCCATTCCTTGTAGGCAGCTTCTGTGCTTCTCCGGTCTGCGATTACGGTAACTTTGGATTCTGATTGCTCTGAATCTGCCGAGCACAGTGGGAGGGTCAGCATGGTGAGCTGATTTACACCGCTTGGGCAGGCTCTGAGGGCACGTCTCCAGCACAAGAAACTTGCAAACGTCAGGCTTCACACATTAAACAATGTTATTGCAGCCGTGACGAATGTGTACCACAGGCTGCATGCGGACGGGCTTCAAACCATTCAGGTGTGTCGTCTTCTTGATCTCCACATATGAAGACAATGGCAGTGTTAAATCCGTCTTCATGCCGGCTCCTTGCATATCCTGACCTCATGGTCTCTCTTCTGGAAAACTTCAGCGTTCCGAGCTTGAACTCCGAATATAATAGGACCGCCGGAGGTATCGCAATGCGAACACTTGGCACGTCCTGCCGGATAACAAGTCCAGCTTGATGCTGAAGTATTAACCGTCGGTGCAAACTCCCACAATCTGTAATGCCGAGCATCTCCAAATGTGGCACTCAGCTCCGTCGTCTCTGGTAAAGGCTGTTCTCCACGAGTATCCTCCAATCAGTCTTCCGTCCGTTCCCAACAGCAAAACAACCCTTCATCCTTTATTCCGCCGCCTGACGCCCATCATGCCCAACTATGATGACCGGGTCTAGGAGTCTAGCTACTGAGTGGGTGCCACTGTATGAGTCTGAAACTGGAAACTGCAGAACCTGTATGTGCGAAAGAAGTTGCAGAGGACAGGTTGATCCCACGGAGGTTACTTGCCGCACAATATGGCTACGACTGTCACTTGGCCAAAAGTCCTGCTTGCTGGTAGTCTCTGTCACCAAGCAGCGGATCCCGGGCTTCTGCCTGCGCCAAGCGGGTGCGCGGAGCCCGCAGCTTTGCACGCGTCCGCCAATGCAGCTCGGCTGGGGCTTGCAGGGCAGGTAGATTCGGAAAGCTCTGCCCAGACTGACGTCAGGTTCGAAGTTTTTTGGGGGGTTGCAAATTTGGCTGGACCCTTGTCTCAGAACATCCTCTGATACGACGTGCCTTCACACGCCTTCGTCTTTGAGCAACGTCTGTGTGAGTCAACGCGGGGGTGCGGATGCGCTGGCAACAGCATCAGATTGACTAGTGACGAAGATGAGATAGGAACGTTTTGGCCAATAGACTGCCGCGAACCCCACGAGCCCACTCCTGAAGGCAACAGCCTGCGCCACCGAGGTATCGAAGGCATCCGGTGCCGCCGCATAAATGACCTCCGATCTCTGCAGCATCCTAAAACCTAAGAGCTTGCCTTGTCGGGTCAATCTCGTATTGTAAGCCTGCCAACGCAAAAACGCTTTTGTCTCAAAAAAGCCGTTGTCTCTCCGCAGCTTTCCTGGCACGGCGGTGTTCTCTCAACATCGGCAGCCTTCGCTTTTGGTTCTCGGAAAGCTGCCTCGGATATGCCGCATCCATATTTTCGGCCGTTCGTTGCACGTCAGGATCTGCAAGAAACGCTCTGGCTGCAGCATTCTCCGCCTGCCCCTTCTTCCGCAGCACCTCGCTCCTGAACTCCCGCCCACGCCAAGCATACGGAGCTCCGTTCTTGTCATTGGCAGTGACGGTCAATGTCGATTGGTGGCAGCACAGGCCCCCCTCCTTTACCTCCACGGTGGTATAGGAAATTCCCAGCTGGTGGGGACTGTTCTCGAAAACTGTAGCGTGCTTCAAAGGCCTTGGGGCTGCTTTCAAGGACTTGTGGGTCCATAGATAGTCATAGGAGTACAGGATTTACCACTGGAAGCAACGCGATGTCAGGTAACATCTTGTTTCGAAGGCGATTTCAGGTAACATCTTGTTTCCAAGGTTCTGAATTGGTGATTTTGGTGTCACTGCAAATCCGTGGCTGCAACTGGCTAGGTGGGAAGCCATGCTGGGTCGAAATGGTGCACTCACCTGGGCCCGCTAGGTCGGTCTTTGGAGTATTCACCTCGACATGTGCACAGGTGAAACCACGAATGTTTGCTGCAAATTATGCCATCGTCTCAATCACATGCATGCACCGCTCTTTCTTCCAAGGTTGTTGCTTGCTTGCTTCCCTCCGTGAGAAGACAAATCCGACTCGGCCACTCTCTCTCTTTCTCTCTTTTCTTCCTTCTCGAGGTACATTCTCCTTTGTCCTCGCGTTCGTTCTTGCTCTCTGCATGCCAAAAGACTGCTAATGCACTTCCCCGATACTCTCTTCGCGTGGGCACTCCGTCTGCTCTGTGCTATTCTGTCGGGGTGGAAAACGCAGTCCAGCAAACCCGGACGGAGAAGCTGAGTTACAGTGATAGTGATAAACTGACCCCGAGGGTGGGGAACTCAATTTAAGAGCAGGCTTCCATGCTCACGGTTATGCGAAGTCGCGGAGACAAAAAGTGTACATGCGTTCAGCTCAGGGCGGGACTGCATGAAGCCATTCACAGTATTCTTTGGATCGCCAGGGTTCTTCGTCAGATCGAAGCCGGGTTCCGGGGGTCTGCCAATTCGCTTGTTCTTCTTTGGCTTGTTGCTGTTCTTCCTCTTCTTCCTCTTCTTGCAGGCACTCTGGATTGCACCTGGCACGTGTATCTCCAACTCGTCCGCATTGAAGCGGCTGCTGCCCGACTTCTGTGGCGACGGGCTGCTGGTGCGAGAGCTTGAGGACGAAAGGCTCACAGCTGAGTCCCCATCCACAGGCTTCGCCGAGGCCACGGCGTCTCTCGTAGACAGCGAGTTCAGACGCTGCATCCCGCGCTCAGCTTCCTCCATGGCCGGGCGGGATGCCTGTTTTGTCTAACCTGGAACGCCTGAAACTACAAGGAGCCAACTACGGACGTGCATAGGAATCGGTACGGTCTGCTCGCACGCGGGACGCCTCAGACTGCTGCAACTTCGCTTCAGCCGTGGTTTCGGCCATTCAGATTTTTCTTTCACTGCCTTGCCTGCACAAGTCTCACAAAGGACTTACGATTGCTCCTGGCTTCCTCGCATTCGGGCAGGCCGCCTGCTGTCCGGAAGGAAGCTCGAGCGCCATCAAAATCTTCTCCTCCTGTCCATTCAAGATTCCATTGTGGATTCCGTGCGAGTAGCAGAACTGCATGGCATCGTGCGTTACAGATCCTTTCCTGTGTGTCAGGCTTATGGCAAGGTCGGGTACGGCAGCCAGTCCTCCACCTCTGAATACTCGACCAGAGCGCCTTCCAGGTGTTTGCCCTGGCCCAGTGAATGGGGAACGGGAAAGGCGTAGCCTGAAACCCTCCTTGGCTTTGTAGATTGTAGACGTCGAAGTTGGACAAGGGGCACCCATGCAAGGAGTTCCGAAAGACAACGGCACGCGAGCAGACAGTGTGAACTTCCACCCCTGCAGATCTGCTTCCAAATCCTTCAAGCACAGACGTTCCATGATTGTCATGTTCCTGTGCAAAACAAACTGCTTTACAAACTGGAGTCCTTGCTGGATGCCGAGGAGAATGTTGCTCGTATGTTCCAGACCCTGATTTGTTCAGAGCTACCCAGCTGCGAGTCAGTCCTGAGCAGCTTGCAAACCAGCTTCCGTGAGTGTGCAGAAGAGGGCCTGGAAGTTGTAACACAGAATGCCCTGCAATCCTCGAAAGAACACCCGCATATCATGGGGAAGCGAAACGAAGCCTAGGTCTAGGACTTGAGGATCCTGACAAAGTCCACATTGACATAACGTGCTACAACCTGCAGCGAATGTACCATGCAGCACGCCTGGCGCATGGCATCGCGGTTGTCCGATTCAAAATCCTACCAGGATCGGGGCCAGCAGGGGTTCGGGACATTTCGGGACTGTGTGAACAAATGCGCTGCAAAGCTGCTGCCATCGATCATCGCATATCTTCAGGTACCAGTAGATGAACATGCGCAATGAGCTCACTTTGGGTGCCTGACGAGAATACCATACACCCAGCATGGGGCTGGGCCTTCCTGAACCGCTGAACCTGAAATGAAGTATTACTTGTGGGCATGACTTGCCAAGCGAGCCTCGCCTGCGGTGCCTGTCCGACGTACCTCGGCATCCGGAACTGGGATGTCTGACTCTGCTTTGCATCGGAATCGAGCTAGGTTCACATGTTGCGCCCTCGAGACCCTAGGCTGAAGAAGCGCTACCAATTACAACGACAGGCTCTGCTCTTCCTCCCTTGCCAAGGTGCAGCAAATCCCCTTGTCGGAAAATCGGCACCTTCTTGTCGACTTCGTAAGGGGACCATGCAGCACCTCGCAGTGTATGCAACTACTAACTACCGGTGGCCTTCAAAAGTACACCTGCATCAGGATGTCCAGCTGCAAACCGCATGACCTCTCCATCTGCTGTCATGGAGAGTGCAATGCCGCACGAAATTGTGAAAGTAGGAACGCATTTGCAGCAAACATTCAAAAACGGGCTGAAACCCACAAACTTAGACGGGACACTTGCTAGGTCGACGAGGAAGAAGCGCGTGCATAGAATGCCTGCAAAGATTTCGGACCGCTCTCTCAGCTGGCTTGTGGAGTAGACTTTCTCGTACAGTTGGACTGGAGATGGACAGCACAAAGGGCCGAAGGTCTGCCACAGCCAGGAAGACAAAACCTCGAGGTTTGGGTTCTTGAGGTGTGGATTTCAGGACCTACCCCCCCAACCACGAGAGCCTTCCGCAGCCTCAGTGTGTTAACATTCACGTGAAGTGACGCATGTTCAGACATGTTTGCCAGCAGGACAAGAATCAACAGAAGATAACAATTCATTTATAGGGTTAAGGGGCTTTCTCAAAAGGGTACTTCTGGTAGTTGGATACCCATACGATAAAATACAAAAACATTCAAGAATCATTCAGAAACTTATACAAACCCTCGAATTCATACGATCAAGTTCGTTTTTATTTCAAACCAGATTTGTTTTTGTTTTGATTTTTTGTGATTTTTTGAATGACGAGGGGGGGCTGATATTTGTATTTTCCGTATTTTTGAAGTTTTTTGATTTTTTTCTGATCTTTTGTGTATTATCATGAATGCTTCTGTATGTTTCCGAATGATTATGTATTTTTCGCATTTCCTGCATGTTTATTATTGCTGGCTATTGAATGATTTGGAATGATTTCGTACATTTCCCAATGCTCCCCGCAAGTGCCAGAAGGCCCTCTTTGGGAAGCACCGCTATCCTTAAGAAAGAACAATGCACTGTCATTCATGCGCTGATCGCTTGAAGGCTCTAACACGGCCAGTTTCGTAACAGGTGAAGCTGTCCTCAATCCTGAAGCTATGAGGCGCACAAACTGTCCGAAAATTTCTGGAATGTCAACCGAGGAGTCGTGTAAGACTTCTCGCAGAGTCCTCAAGATCACCAGGTGAATCAGGTTGGTTTATATGATGCTTCTTAAGCTGGTACCAGTAGCTTTCGAAACAGCAGTGAACTTGCGGATTTCTTCCCCCAACACGCGGTCGTAGTTTGGAAGCGGCCAAATCGCCGGTCCGAAGTCCAAATCAATGCATGCTTCTGAACTCCGACCAAATGGTCGAAGCGGTCAGAGGGTCCGCCTACACCTCAAAATCCCACCAGGACTTGCCCACAGGCAAGTCCTAAACAGGTTCAGAAGATCCGCTCCTGCACCGGAATTTTCTGCTGTTTGGATGTGTGCTCAGCCTCCGCCCGGGCTCCGCTCATCCATGCAGGTTTCGCACATAATCAATGCGAAAAAATCTGGGTCGCCGCTTTTCATCGTTGTGTCCATTCATTGCATTTTGCAGAAAATCGCCTGCCACAGCACGCATCCTACCCCCCTGTAATTAGGGTGTGGGTTTGTCATTTGCCTCTTTGGAGTTGTGGGACTTGGGTGTGCTTGCAGGATGATTAGGGCACAGGCCTATGCACGCCGCAGCTTGCCGGTCGGCCGAGGCCGTCGAAATTGCTTACTTAAAGTAGGCATCTCAGGGTTCTTGTCCCCTGCACGCTCCAGGATAGACGGCGCAGCATGCTCGAACATCCTAAGTGCTGAATATCAGACCCTACATCACGGGGTATCAGCGAACAAACATATCCACTCTTGCCGGAACGAGGGGCTACATACATGTCTTGATGAAACATCAACCAAACATCTGGATGCAGGTGCGGAAGAGTCAAAAGAGGCGTAACAGTCTAACAGAGACTGGACAGGGTATCCCCGACAAGTTCTTGTGCCTTTGACACAGCACTCATGTCTCAGATGTCTCAGCAAAGTCTCAAGTGCGCCTCCGCGCTGGCGAAGTGGCCGCGCTACCTCAAAACACTGCCGGCTTTGGGCGCGAATGCTAGTGCAGTTGGCATGGCCGAAGTGCAAGCAGCCCTGAGCGGCCTCTTGGGGCAGCAGGCGCTCCCAAAGCTCGAAGAAGGACCTCAGCTTGGCGGTTTAACGGGCCTGCAGTTAGCTTCGAATTCAGCTCTGGCCCTCGCAGCGACGTGTCTGCGACCAAGCGTGGTCTGTCGACAATTCTCGGGGGTAGCTCTTGAATTCTGGAAGTCTCTGAAGCTTTGGGGTGTCGGGGCTGTGCACTCCGAATCAAGATCCCAAAAACCTGGTTGATGCATATTTTGCGGCAACTAACAGCTAAGCAGCTAACACTAGCTGCTAGCTGCCAATCACCTTCCAGCTATCCGGGAAGTTCTAACACCAGTCCGGTTATGTTTGGGGGTCTCTTGGCTCCGCGGATCCACCAGGCAGTCCAGAGAAGGACCGACGCTGGCCAATGAGCCGCCAAGCAGCCATCGGCCCTTGAGAAGATTGAGGCACCTGCCATGTTGCTTTTTGTTAACATGGGGGTATAACATACACACAGACACGCGCATACCTTCGCATGCACCCGTATATACACTACGATTCCCTTGCTTCAACTACTAGTACTAGGATAGGAAAGAGTAGGTCGCAGCATGTCGAAGTCTAGGAGTGGTTGCAAAAGCTCTCTTGCAAACAACGGCAACCTCGGCTTGCCAATATCACCGTGACAGGAAAAGCACCGGTCACAAACACGGCGTGATCAATGCACATCCCAATCAAACGAACCCAGCTCCGCAAATAAGCGCGCCTGGCGGCTATTGTTTCCAACTCTGCTGGGCGAGGTGTCGACCCTCAGCACTGATGAAATTCATGGGCCGCTGCAAGGAGTGAACGGAGATCCGCTTCGATCACTCATGCTTAGATTTGGGCAGGATGCATGAAGGATTGCGCTTGCACTTACACCTTATTAATAGCCGAATAGCCAGGCTCTGGATGCTAATGCTAGTTGCCATCAAGACGCCGACGAGCAGCTCACCTGGACGCTGCGAGTTGCTGACTGCTGAGCTGGGCTTGCATTTGCATCGGAGGGCACAGCATGAACATGGGACAAAACGGTATAAGATCCCCGCATCGCCGACACATTGCCTCGCATTCAGCATCACCTGTGCAGCTGTGTGTCACAGCCAGATCGGCGAGGACACTTCGCTGATTCCGTTTCGCATTTCACGCAAGGCCAAGCTCCAGGATCGGATGATACTGTACTCGGCAGACTGAGATGCTTTGGTGACAGAAGCCCTCAAAATCAAGAGAGAAAGAGGGAGAGAGACAAACAGGGATAGGGGTGCCAACCAAAGGAAGCAGGATCGGAACATCGGGCGCTGGCCGCTTCAGAGCGAGCTTTGGTACAGTCAGAGTGCCTGCCCAAGCCGAGCCGCCACGGCCCAAAAATTGCGCAGCAGCCTCAAGCCGGCTTAGCTGGCTATCCCTGACTGTTCGAACGGTCTGTCAAAAACCCTGACCTTTGTACGGCACGGTGCAGCTTGACATGTATGTGTGGTTTCCATAGGGCTCGAATGGCCGCAGCAGCGCGGAACTATCGGTAGCCCCAGTGCCCATGGAAGGCACGCCTTCGCCTGGTGCCGCGCTTGCGAGGCGGCATGCAGATCTTTGACAAGACCCTGACAGGCAAGACGATTACGTTGGACGTTGAGGCCAGTGGCACGTTCGACAATTTCAAGGCGAAGTCCCAAATTAAGGCAGGCATCCCGCCCGACCAGCAGCACCTCTTCCGTACTCTTTCGGATTACAACCTGCAGAAGGAATCGACCCTTCACTTGGCGCCGCACTTGCGAGGCTGCATGCAGATCTTTGCCAAGATCCTGACGCTCACCTTGGACGTTGAGACCAGTGACAAGTTCAACGACGTCAAGGCTAAGTCCCAAGATAAGGCAGGCATCCCGCCCGACCAGCGGCACATGATATTTGCTGGCAAACAGTTTGAGGGCGGCCGTACTCTTTCGGATGACAACCTCCAAAAGGAATCGACCCCTGGCGGCATCCAGATCTTTGTCAAGACCCTGAAGCTCACCTTGGATGTTGAGGGCGAGCAGCACCTGATCTTTGCTGGCAAGCAGTTTGAGGGCGGGCGTATTCTTTCGGATTGCAACCTCCAGATTGAATCGACCCCTGACTTGGCGCAGCACTTGCGAGGCGGCATGCAGATCTTTGTCAAGACCTTGAAGCTCGCCTTGGACGGTGAGGCCAGTGACAAGTTCGACAACGTCAAGGCTAAGTCCCAAGATAAGGCAGGCATCCCGCCCGACCAGCGGCACATGATATTTGCTGGCAAGCAGTTTGAGGGCGGCCGTACTCTTTCGGATGACAACCTCCAGAAGGAATCGACCCCTGGCGATGGTAAGTACGATCGTGACATGCGGCAATATGAGTTCAAGATTGAAGGCACTAACGTTGCTTATACGATAGGCGAGCGCCTTGACATCTGGCCCCGCAGCCCGGTAGACCAGGTCCTGGAGTTCTGCGGCATGTCGACGGGTTTGTTGGGCGCTTCGCTTTTGTTAGACTCGGACCTCACACGTGTTGGTGTGTATATACGCGGTCACTGTATGCAGCGGCACGTCTGAGAGGGCACAGTGATGTTTAATTTTCCATTGCGAGGGACCTACCCTGTAGTTGGCCTCCCCTGTTCCCTGGAGGAATACGCTCAGGGTTCAAGTGTTGGATGGGCACAGTTGCGTTTGAATGCTTGCAGTTTGCCTCACCCTACCCCCTTGAGGAATAGGCTCAGGCTGAAGTTCTGGTTTTGCCCTTGGTACTTGCATGTGCCTGGGCCCAGTGTCGCAATGGCCTTCTTTGGCAAAGCCTGAAGGTCTGCAGGAGTGCTGCTTTAACTTTGATGTTGGCTCCGTCTTGTCTTGATTTTGCATGTGCTCGGGGATGGCTTTTCTGCCTTAGGCGCCAGTTAAATCCTCGAACATGTGATTCCCAGCCTTAGCGCATACTGGTACGTGTCCAGATTTCTGCGCGAGGATTTCCTAATTAGATGCAAGCCAAAGGGCCGCGTCGCTACGACTCTTCGCCCGAAACAGCAGAAACAGCAGTGGTTTCCATATAGGCAGATTATCAGGTTCAAGGCACTAAGTCCGTGATGTGCATATTTAATATGCAGGCAAGCATCATGTAAGCTCAAACAGACATGCATTCATAGATGCATCCATTCTCAAGATCCAGCAGTCCGCAACTGTGCGCAAGTGGCTGCGGTCCACACTGAGAAAATTTCATCATGGAAGTACTTGAAGGTGTTCACCCTTCTCTGTCTCGGCCTTCAGAACCAGAAGTGCGCCCAGAGCTTCCTCGTCCTCGCAGGCTGGGGTTTGAGTCTAGAGTTTCCGGCAGGATGGCAGTGTGAAAATACAGAGATAAGAACTTGAGGATTTCATTCCACAGCAGCCTCTTCCTCGAGGCCAGCCGCAACAGCGAAGCTCGGCGTGTGTTGTTACTTTGAGTGTTGGTGAAGCTCTGCTTGGTTAGGCTTGATGAGTGTTGGTGCCTCGCAGCCAACCATGGCCAGGGCTGGGCCCGTCTCGCTGGCACCCGCTGCAGCGAGCAGAAATGCCTAAGCGGCGGGGTTGGCAAGGCACGCCCCTTTTAGGACTGCAGCTTCCACGGACGTCTGCGCGCAGCATTTCTGGCGCACATCGCAGATGCCAGAAATCCGCTTATTCACACCTCCATGTTGCCATGAATAGACTCAGACTTGAGCCAGCAAGAGACGCATGAATTCCTAGTAAACCACCTTCTGCTGTCCAAGTGGCAGTGATTTTGAACCCTCCCGACGGTAACCTCAACGCATATTGCGAGGCGAGCGGAAGGCATCCCTGGGAACAAGACTTCCTTGCGTGGAGGCTGAAAAACGGAACCGCAGATATCACTCAGCTGCTTGGCAGATGGTCCTTTAATCCAGGTTCTGAAAACGAAAACTGTCACTCCCATTTGCTGCTCCCTGCTCCTCCCTCGCAGGACGGTTCAGTCTGGACGACCTGTCCGATATCTCAGTCACGGAATCAGACACCAATTCTCCTTGTTACCAGAGCCTATAACTGCGAAATCATTGCCAGCCGGAGAGACCCCAAGCGATTGCCAACTTGCAGGCCATGCGACTGCAGTGGGATCAATGCCTCAGCCAAGCCCAGCGGCGTCCTGCGCAAGACATCAAAAATCAACGGCGGTGGCAAACAGTCGTTGCTGCAGGGCTACCTTTGGTGGCAGGGGTGGACTGGTGGTGGTAGTGGCAATCATAGTTGGTGATGGTAGTAGCAGCATCTGCACTGTCGGCTCAATGCTTGTAACTACCATCGATCGTAAGCATTTAAGGAACAAGTAAAATGCTGAAAAAACACAGCCATGCAGGCAGACCCGCGGCATTGAATGCAAAGGTAACTTTCATGTAGATTCCGTAATAACCGCGGCAATGCACGGTACAAATCAATCTGACTTTCAGAAGTCCTTGTGACCATCACATCTTTCAGAAACGACTGCCATGTCTGATATCCCGGACAGTCAGACAACGGATGGTTGCGAGGGAACAGAATTCAGAATGCGAGTGCATGGTTGCAACGAGATTGTCAATCAAACGAAGTGGTTCTTCTTCACAGGTAGTAGGCTCGGTGCAACCCCGTTGAATCCTGCGCGGCCAAACCTGTCTCAGAGTGGACGGCGCAAGCCACGCTTCCCTGACCAATTACCACCAAGCTTCAACTTCCAAAGGCTCGCACCTCAGACGAGGCATGAGATCTGGACTCCTCTCCGGTCTGCGCAACGCGCGACAAGGCCAGGCAGGTGTCAAGACGTCAATCCGTCCCCTGGGATCAATAGCAACGAGCCGAGACATCTGTGGGAGTTTCACAGTCTGGGTTGGCCTGGACACTACCGAGTGCATCCTGTTGCCGACCACTCAGTTGTACACAGCCCGCCCTGAGGCTGGCCTGCTGTCTACCTGTGTTCCCAAATGCCAACTTGGTGTTCTGTGTCGATCCTGGACAGGTAGCGCAGAAACGCACGAATTGCTCCCAGTCTGAAAGCCTAGAAAGATGCACGAAAGAACCTGGAGAGGTTGTGGTCTGCTTGCTGCCGGAGCTCTCAGCTGGAAAGACCTTGCTTGCGTTTGGCTCCGACAGACATGTCAAGGCTGGAATTGAATGCTGAGGCAGCCCAGGGGCGTAAGAGTAGGAGCTGGTGGCGTGAAGCGCCGGAGCGGGCGCCGTGGGATTAGCGAGCACCGGGGGTGCCTCTCGTGGCTGTTGACTTAATGCCTAAACCAACAGTTGGGGATCGAGTGATGTGGATCTCCGAAACCCTGCCAAGCAGGGGGGGGTTTTGCGTAAGGTGCTGTTGTTGCGACAGCGCACAAAACATGACCTAAAGTACCGAGTTGGGTATGAAACATCGAACTGGTGGTCCCGGACCCACATTTTGGGCAGGTGATTCGTTGTTTGTGTTCCCCTGCTATGTTTCTTCAGTCGTCCCGTCTTGCTAGTCGCATTGCACATCCAAAGCGATTACATTGTACTTGTTCGTATCATACTTCGTCACTTCAGCGGACGTGCCTTTTCATCATGGCAGGTTTTCGGGGCATGCTCGTTGATCTCTCTGCTACGAGAATTGCATAGTCGTATTTTGTGGACCTATGCTTCTCAGGGTGTTGAAGACACCTGTCCACATTGCCGGGAAACAGCTCCGCGCGAGATGCCTCCGGAAAAAGACTGCGATTGCGCAAGACACATGTTTTGCGATCGAGTCCACTGGGACCTATCTGCTTGATACTCTTCAACTGACATTGGTGGTGTGTGGAGGTGGTGGTGCTGCTGGTGCTGCCTACCGCAGCTGCAGCTGGTAGCGGCGTGTGGCGATCACTCGCTTCCGAAAAAAAACTCTCCCAGTTGTAAGCGCAGACTGCTTGCTGCTTTGGCATGCGCATGTTTCATTGGCAACAGATTAAACTTCTTGCTGGAAGGAAAGTGGGAAGTTCTTAAATGCAATTGTCGACCCCAAGGTCTGGGTTCTCATGGAATTCTCGGCTGGAGTCTCTGCAGTAAAGTAACTGGAGACATGCAACTGCAACGGATAACAAACTGTCAACAAATCTGCAGCACTACAGTATGTACTGCCCAATGTTTTGTAACCCACACATGCGACCTCACTCTGGCCCTTCGACAGGAAACCACCCTGAGCCATCAATTCCGCAGTGCGGACCTTGAAGCCCTTCTTGCCGGATTTGCCCTGTTCGGGTTTGCAGGAAGATCAAGCTCTTCACAAGTTTTGAGCATGAATCTGTTGGCAACAGAACGCCGTCGTTCACTGGCATTGATGATAGCCCTGGCCCCTGCCCGAACAAGCTTCGATTCCAGCTCTGAATCCGCGAGGGACAGCTGCAAGCAATTCTGAGGACTCAGGGCCTCTCCCGAAGAGAAGGACAAAGTCCGTGCTCAACACCGAAAGCCCGTGGACAGACTTCGGCCTTGGAGCCTTTTCGGCCGCCCTTCCCCTGGAGGGCTCTTCGCCGCATCAAGGAACTGAGTTTTGAGAGTACTGGTATCACTTGCAGAAGCACTATATATCAGACTTGGTGAACCATACCGAAAGCCCGTCTTTGCAGCTGCGTCAGGACTCGGAAGCATGAAAGGCTTTGAGGCCTTGCCTTGCCGTGCCCGGAGCCATAGGGCGCACCGTGGCTGCGGGAAAACATAACGGGAGACTGGAAATCTTCGAGCAGCTGAAGTTTGTTTGGGATGAAACATCAGATCAGGTTTGGGGTTCAAGGGATAGGCTACTGACAGGCTCCTTGAGCTCGAGTTGCAAACAGCTGCGGCAAGGTCTAATCTGGAGCCTGTGGAGCTGAAAACCTCGAAGACAAGTAACTTGGACCGTGGTCCAAGGTTCGCATACTGCGCAAACTTCAGGGCAAGAGCCCTCCAACTCATCGGAATTGCTCCAGAGCGCTCGTTTTGAGAGGTTGCCAAGCGTTGGAAGCACTTCTGATTTGTAGACTTTTCTGGGTTCTGGATACGAAGGCTTCATGCTCAAGCTGTGACCAACAGTCCTGCCGAGCATACAGCACCAGCGAGTTCTTGAGTCCTGCGACAGATGCATCGCATCTTGAATGTGAAGCTTAGCAAACAGCATCCCCGTGCTTCATAAGCTTATAGGTGTCTTTATACTGTCTTTTAGCTAGAACCTCGTATCGCCATAGGCTTCGGTCTGCAGAAACACCGCAAGAGTGAACTTTAAACACGAAGGAGAGGCGCTACTCGGAGGCCTTACCTCGCACCTCAGCCTCCGCACCTGGCCCAGCAAGCACACTTTTCGCAAAGAAATTCTTCATCATCGTCTTACGATCGCGTCCCAAGCAGTGCGCCGAACTTGACTGACTCCACGTCGCTTTCGGATCAAAGTTGGCACTCAACAAGGCCACACGCAAAGTGCCACCGCTCCTTTCCCCCAGCTGCATCAAGCGCTGTGCACGCTGTGCATACATTTGCTCCGTCATATTGCCACGTCTCACATTGTGTTTCCAGTGTTGCACATGACTGGCCACGCGTAATGACAAGCATGTATCTTGCAAGGGCAGTCCGAAAGATGCAGAGTCCTGTAAAGCCCAAGTGAATTCATCATGGTGGAAGTGATACAGAAATACGGGAAACGAGCTCTGAGGTCCTTCAGATTCCGACAAATAGCCATAGGATCTACCGTGAATCAAAGCAGCTTCTTCGATCGCTACACGCCAGGAATAGTATGATTCCAGGAAGTTGGATCCTGTAAACGTCGCTTGAACGAACTCGCGGAAGTGCTGCAAATGGGCAGGTCGAACCAACTGGGGGAAGGTGTCCATGAACTCGCCCACCCAGTCCAAGCCTAAAGACATCGTCTCCATTGAATTCACCTGTGTCCGACGTGCAAACATTACAGGCAATCCATGCGGCATGAGAAGCTCTTCCACGTGCGGCGTGTGGATCACCACGTCTGCATCAAACCAAGCCACCCAGTCGGGTGGGTCGACGTGTTCTGCGATGTACAGATCGGAAAGCCAATAGTGGTACTGTAGAAGCTGTGTGCGATATCTTTGGCTCGCAGAGCGTCCACTCCATTCGATGGAGTCGATGGCAGAACCACGCCGAGGAAGGCTTGGAGTATAAACGCAAACGACTCTGGGCGAAACCTCAGCACACATGTGGCGATCTTCTGCAGTGTCGTCCACGGCCATGAATATCTTGGACCTCCACTTCTTGGGCCAGAAACGTTCCACCGAATCCACAAAAGGGAGCACTGCAAAGCGATCTCCATGGAAGCTTTGCAAAAAGATTTGTACGGAGATCTCCCGCTCCCAGGAAGCAGGCGGCAATGCCGGGCTTACACTACCGGCAGGAGGATGCGCCAGATATTGCCCACAACAGTGTTCAACTATGTCGTCTACCACGTCGCCGAAACACCACGTGAGGCGCTCTATTGTAATGCGTCGATCACAGCAAATTTGGGGTACGTAACCGCCACCCCAGCAGGGAGAGTGCGCCGGAATAAAAGCGGTGTGATAGAAGTAGCTCCCAAGCGTCCACAGATTCAAGGGCGGACGATCGAAAAAACCCAACTGCATGCTGACGTCAGCCATGAAGAAACTGGTATCCAGCGGTCGTGCTTGATACGAGTACAACTGCAACCTGTCCTGAATAGTTGGCGGATCTGCAGCAAACTCGGCCAGGATATCTTCAAAACTTTGGCTTCGGTTGAAAAAGAACTGTTTCCCAGACAGCAATGGCAGGGTGAAGAACCTTCCGGCACCACCATGCCAGAGGCTTCGTTTCATCTGCAAAGTCTGGTACGTCGCTTCCACGGATCGACGGCAGTTGGCTACAAGCCGGCCGATCTTGCTCAGCTTGACCGGTTGCTGGCATTTGCACAGGGTCCAACAGCCTTGACCCAAACGCAGAAAGGCCAGCAAGTGTGAGGTGTGGTCGTTCCAGTAAATATGACGACTGTTGAAGCGCCAAGGATGCAAGTTTCGGTATTGACCCAGCGTGGTCTGAGCATTTGGATGCAATGTCTGGGAAGACCACAGACGGATATCCAAGTTTCCAACTGCGTTGGCCATCGAGGCGTCGGCAGAATTGCACTGGTGCGACGACTAAGACTGTGACTATATGACACTATGTCACTATGGTTCATGGGAAGAGGCTCGATTCAAATGCCTTCCCAATCTCGAGCATGACTTGGTCGGGATTTTGGCATTAGATCATTAGGTCCTTAGGTCATCCTCAAAGGGGCTGCCGCTTGGAGCAGAAAGCTGGAAACAGGTCGGCAGACCGACTGCAACAGAACTTCTCTACATTTTCCTTGGTTTGAGCTACGGTCAGGAGTGGGGAGAAGAAATAAGCAGCACAGGGAACCAGAGAAGAAAAGAAGGGAGGGGACTTTGCAAGCGCTGCAACCCTCCAGTACGGTCGGAAGAGTTCCCACAAATCCAAGTCTTTGCCACCTCGCATGCAAGACAGAAGCTCCCTCGTGCCTTGAAGGCTTCGCAATGACCAGCATGCCGCGCGATGTGGGTTGGGAAACAGCCCGAAGCTTCCAAAAAATGCTCGCTAGCAGGTCAAGTCGGGTCAGGGATGGACATTAACAAATCCGGCGATGGAGATGCAGGTCCCTCTATTCTGAACATGATCCATCGTCAGGGGGTGCTTATGCTAAACTTGGTACATTATCTGCAGCTGCAAACTATGAACTAGATTTTGCGTGTCTCTGCAAAGCTTGAGCTCTGCCCTTAGGGCAGGTGGCGACGTAGTCATTCTCGTGCTGATCCAACACTGTCGAGTTTGTCATCCACAGAGCTGCCCAGGTACCCAACACTCTGCCCATCCTCATGATGCATGACCAACTATTCGCGTATCCAGAACCCGTCTTAGCACTTCCAGAATGCCATCGAAGAACAGGCGCCTGCCACAGTGGTAGTGGATGTATTGACACCACTAGCCTCGAACAGCGGATGTCGGAACGGATGGCTAGGCACTAGTCGGTCCGGAAGGCGGGCGCTCTACGTTAACGGCGAGAAAATCTACAGGTTAGAACGTCTGACAGCAGACTTGCATGCTTCTGTCGCTCTGGCTTTCACTGCAAGTCGCCTCTTGGCGGAACGTGGGACATCGGCACACTCCGGGCTGCCAGTTCTGTCTACTGGACGTCAAAGCCCGTGTCCAAAAAGGCGGAAAACCCGGTTTTGGCTTTGGCCGTCATGTCCTGAGGGTCCCGGCAGAATGCCACATGGAGCAAGGGCCGTCCGGACATTTCGCAGTGCGCTGAGCACCAGCGCCACCCTGAAGCAAGCCAAATTACTGTACTGAGTACTGAGTGTCTGCAGAGGCCCCATACAAGGAAGGTCAGCAGCCCGTACAGTGTCATCATTTGCCAGGCAACATGACAGAGCATGCGAGAAGCTCAGGCAAAGGCTCCCCGCAAAGAAGGTAATCCAAGGTTCCTTTGTCCACGGCCTTGCTCAAACCATGGGTCAGGGTATGTCAGGGTGTGGAATAGCCAAACCCAAGATCTAAGCCCTGTTGCCGTGGCCATCCGTGGCCCAAATCTACAGGAACAACTCTGAGTACGTTGCAGTGGTTGCGATGTAGGCATGTCAAGCACGATCAAGCTCTCGACCTGTAGAAGCGAAAACCCTGAACTGGTTTCAACTCGAAGGAGTCTTTGGCACCGAAGGTCTCGGTCACATCGAGAAGCCAGGGCCGCAGCCAAGTCGAATGCATTCTCGTCCAGGCCCGTCCTCATGTTCGCGGCTTTGGACTTCGAGACTTACATGCCGTACAAGATGGAAGAAGCCTCAATGCCCCACAGGCGCTTTCACCTTTACCGAAGCTATGCGGCGTCCATCGTTCGGACATAGTCCGTGCGCCCCAATCCCTGAATGACTGTGCATGCCTACAATGACGAAGCCCTCCGAAATACGCAGCAGTGCGGAATTCAAGCACCCGACATGCGCAAAAGAGCACAGGAAACCCTGGGATTGCACACCTCCACATCTCACCATACAGCTTTCCTCACCTCTCGGCAGTGATGTTCACCACGCCCCAAGACAGGCCTCTGTAATTTCAGGACAAGAATGCAATCCGAATGGCATGGGAAAGAACGTTTCCGGTTCATCTTGTCTTGTCGGGGCCGATTCTGAGTGCCTCAGCTCCCAACCTACGCAAGCAGCGTGCTCTGCCTCCATCGCTTGGATGACATCCTGTAGAGGTGCATTTCGTGACACGGATTGCAGCGAGGAGAGCATTCTACGCCTGCTCAGCCTTCCCGAAAGAGCTTTGCCCATGAACAGAAAGCATATTATGGCAGCTGAAAAACCGAAAGTTGACTGGCTCCGAAGGATCATGAGTGGGAACGGGAACGACAGTGAGTGATGGGGCAGTCACTTCGGGCCCTCCCCTGCTCCAGTTGCTCCTGGTCGATGTCCACCGCGTGCACCCTGTCCGCGTTCAAGATGAAGCAATATGTGTGCGATCCGAAAGCAGTATCGCGAAAGTTGTGGTTCAGAAGCGTTCCGACCGTTTTCCGAGCTCTAACACGAAGGGGCCGAAACAACAACCAACTTCTCGATTGCAGCACAGATCTCTGCAAAGTCCATACAAGCCATATCCCTCACACACGAGTGCGATGTCAAGCCAGCACCTTCGTCCCGTAGTTACGAGTACATGTCTCTAGTCTGCACCATTCAGTCGCAGCATACTCGAAGTTCCAATGCTGCGATGCTGTGCGCCTGCAGCCTTTGGACCAGATGTCTTTGGCCAAGCTGGACGTCCCGCAGCCCACGTCCAACCTGAGCTCGGGCTCTGGAGCTGCCACGGAGCCACAACGGCTCCAGCACCCACGGGGCCAGGACTCTGCTGCACGAAAAAAACTCGAGTGCTCTCTGAACCAGCTGAGGCCTGCAAGCCTGTAGTTATCTCGCCTGGGACCAGCGAGCTCGGAGTAGACAAAACACGAACCTGATGCCGAGCGACACGCGGAGGGGGGCATCCTGCATCAGGATGTTCGAGCCGACCGTGGAGCAAAGGGAGTGCAGCTGCTTGTTGCCGTCCCACTTATAATATAGTACAGGTATGTACGACGAAGGAAGGCGTCCTGCACCACACCATGTTGCCGCGCAAGCTCTGCCGCCTGCCGCAGTGTTAGTCGCGCTTCGCAGCAGCAGTCTCAAAACATCCACAAGTGCAGGGCGCATGTGAAGCTTGCATTTCATCAAAGAGTACTGCGTCCAGAAGCCATGCAGGCAGTCGATCAGCCTACGAGACCTGGTGGATCGATTTTCGAAAACACACTGCTGCTGCTCTTGTACAGATCGAGTCCACCAAGGCAAACTTGCTGCTCGACATCATCCCAACGGTGACGCTAGTGAGTCGCTGTTTGGATGCTACTGTAACAGCTGCCGCGACTCCTTGATAATGCTAGTGCCGGTGCAGCAACCACTGACGAAGCAAACATCGGATTGCTGCCACGGCTTACCCTCAATCACCTGCTGCCTTCTGTTCTACACAACTGCGACGCCCTCTAAACAGCTTGATGGGATAGCCTCTTCCGCAGGTCGCGCCTCTTCCAGAATCGGGTGCAGCTTGTCATAGCCTTCACACCAGTCCTCAACAATCCGGTTCGCTTAAAGCATGATGGGGCTTTGTGAGTTTAGGGACTTGGCGCAGAGAAGCCCTTCCAGCTGAGAAAGGATCCACTGGTAGGGTACAAAGCTCAAGCCGCGTAATAGACTAGGCCTCGGCTGCTGTAGATGTTCTCCGAGAAACCCTATCTAGCATGGATAGCCCGGCGGTGCATCACACTGATTTTATAAGATGGTGTGATTCCAAGGCAATGCCTGCTGACAGCATGGCTATGCACACGGAAAGTACTGGGTTCGGGATGTTGGGGCACGGGATGGCACTGGCTAGGGCTGGGTGCAAACGAGCTGCGAACATCTGGTGGACGACAAAGAACGCGAATGGCACATGCTTTCCCTGGCACCCGGTGCGGAAAAGTCACGGTGCTGAATCCTCATTGCTGCTGGGCCTGTGCAAGTAGGTCGTCAGTCCAATAACAAGGGTCTCAACTTCGATTCTCGACTTTGGCAAGCCTACTCAATTCAGTCTAAGAGGACCTAACCGACCTAACCTAAAATCAACGGGGTCGCCGATCTGTACTGATGATCTGGCGATGCACGATCAAGCTTTGGAGCCAAGTGCCGGGCGAGCGATGCATATCCGGTCTTGGCCCCAGAAAGTCACGGCAAAGGCTGCTCTTCCAGTCCGAACGTTCCACCGCTGTAATTCCCTTCAACCCAAAGTGGCGACACTGCAATTGAGCTCCACTTCAAGGTGCAAACCCAAGTGGCGATGGGGAAGTCAGGCTGAGGTGCTTCGGGGGCTTGTGCTAGTCTTGGCATTTGATCCTTCCTCGGTGGGCTTCTTTGTGGCTGCGGTCTGGCTTCTTGAAATTCCATGCTGTCCAGCAGGCCCAGGACCCCCGAAAAGGGATATCCGGAAATCGAAGGGGAAAAGCTTTGGAGGAAGCAATTATCTACAGCTTGCTTTGCAGCTTTTGTCTTTTAAGAGGTCTGGTTTGAGGGAGGCTCGGGAAGTGTCGGGGTTTTGAAGATTTGAAGAAAGAAGCTTTTGGGGGGGCTGCGATGCTTTTCGACGCCGAGACGTCGAACAGGCTTTCTCCTTTTGCTCTCAGTATGTGGGTTGAGGTCAGGTCACGGGATCCCCCCTGGGTTATAATGTATTGGCGACCCCCCCGCACGGGGACCCCCCCAATACATTAATTGGTGGGTTCCCCCGGGATCACCGATACCCTTAATGTATTGGTGGGTCTGCTGGTTTTGTATCTCGGAGGGCTTGTGTTCTTCCATTTGAGGCCTCAGTTCCAGCAGCTTCTTCTGTGCATTGGATTGTGTTGGCAACTCCATGCAGCTCCCCTCAGGCATTTTGCCTTGGTGCATCGCGGTGCATGCTGACATGCGCATGGACGGCACAACACACTAGCATCTACCTAGCAGCTTAAGCCACTGTCACGGCACAGGGGGACGGGTTAGTAAGCCAACATGTCGGCACTGGGTTGTACAATAATTTTATTTCTGATTCAAGCCACTATGACGGCATAGGGGAAGGGTTAGTAAGCCAACATGTCGGCAGTGGGTTTTTACTATAGCTAGATTTCGTACTTAAGCCACTATGACGGCACGGGGGACGGGTTAATAAGCCAACATGTCGGCACTGGGTTGTAACGATTAGAACGGAAGCACAGAAGCACAATCATAGATTCCTATGCCATGGCATTGCCAGCTTCGCACCTACTCGTCGCCAATGCGCTTGACTCAGTTCTTGTCTGCATTCTGGCTGCATGCGGCGTTTGTCTAGGGATGTCTAGGGTTTGCTATGGTTTGCTTGATGAAGCCTCCCAGATTACTACCGCTTCATTGACGATGCCCGCAACATCTACTCGGACCAGTTCAAATCGGCCGTCCAGGCAAAATGGCAGGAAGCAAGTAGGCCACCCAATAAGCCATTGTCCGTCTTGGCCAGGCCAACAAGTGGGCATCAGCCAGTGGGGTCCATTCAGCCGGGCCCTTGGATTTCATTCGGCGGTCGGTCTGTTTGTGGACACATCTGTCAGGTGCCAGAGATTCTCAGGGAGAGGGCGGCGCGGCATTGGCCGGAGGACGGCAGTGCTGAGGAGGAGAAGGTCGGAGGGTATTGGATGGCTTGGCTTATTCCTTGAGTTTCTTTGGTATGCCTGGCCAGGTTCCTGCCCGTGGCCTCAGGTGAAGAGTGTCAACTTCGCAGAGCAATCCCGACCTGAGACGACAGACGGTTCCTTTCGCGTCAGGAGCAGTCACGAGTGTTCAGGGCGTGGCAAAAGAACTCGTCGCACATGAGCAAGCTTCCGCCTCTCAGCTGCCCGCTCCTCGACGTTTCCACATTCACGGCTGCATTCGCCGGCCTATACCCAAGCCTGTCCCAATGATACTCCATGCAGTGCCTCCGTGGCACCCTCCTGTTGCAGCCATCACACCTGGATCAAGACTCGCCAGGATCAGTGAAGCATGGTATTGAGACCTGGATGTCAGTGACTGTGGGCACCAGGCGGCGAGTGCATTGAGTACACCAAGGGAACTCACTGGTACAAATCGAACAGAACACTCACGTTTCAGATCATAGTTTATCCGGTGATAAGTAAGGTCAGGCTGCGGCTGTTGTGGAGCCACGCGTTGCATGCAGAAAGTGGGCTAGGAATAGGCTATACATCCTAACATATATGAATTGCCAGGTCCCCGGCAAAACGTTCTCTTTCGGATTGGGAAACCAGAGGTGCTCGCCGCAGGCGCGGTAGGAAAGAACATCAACCTGCGACAGGACTCAGGACCCCGTCACTGCCGCACCGATTTTGGGGATGCACTTGGCGGACATTGCAGCCTGTGCTGCTGGCGATATGGAATTCACTTCTGCTGCACGGATTTCGAAGATGTGCTACTCACTGCCTGGTTCACAACGCCGAAGGTGACGCCGCGACTGCTTCCTCCGAGGCAAGGCGACATGCAAGGAAAGAGCGACCTCCTGTATTTCATAAGGCTTAAGGATGTGAATCTGCAAATCAAACTTGTGCTTGTGCCGTGCCTTTTGGTCTTGGGCCAGCGGATCTCAGGATGGATGGACCAGCCTGGCTGGAAAAGCAAATGCAAAAGTTCCTGGCTCCCGGGAACAGGCAGTACCTAAAAGCTGCCCAACCTCTGACTCAACGTCGGAAGAGGAGCTACCCGACCTCAGCTCGGTCCGGTCAAAAGGACATCCAAAGACCACGCATCTACGTTCCAAACAATGCCGTCTAGTGGAGCGGTTTGCCTGTGGCTCGTCTCGGGCCACCCCCTATTCGGAGGGCATTGCTAAAGAAAAGACCTCCTGGAGATCATCTACGCCTCGCTAGACTCGCTAGCTGATCCTCACAAGATTTGAGGCCCCTGAGCTCAACGCGCTTCCGGGGCGCGGCGTGAGGCCTCGGGCAAAGCAAGGCTCCTTCCCAACCGACCCTTCGAGTAAAACATACTGATGTGGGATCTTGGGCACCTTGCAGGAGGATCCTCCACATCTTCCTGTCCGTCCACTGCGCACTTGTTCCCCGAAAGCACGCAGTTCTGGCATGAATCTAGGATCTTCGCTGGCTGACATGTGCAACACAACCCACGGCATAAACAGCTCGTGCCCATCCGATTCTACTGTGACTCGCCTCTTTGACGGTACTGTTGTCGTCCTTCTTCTCTTTTTTGACTCCTGGATCTCCTGACCGCTCGCCGAAGTTCACTTCGTGCATCTTCAAGGATTGTCGAAACGTCAAGGCATACGTGCTGGTTCAAGTGTGTTTCCACGTCCTTTCTCTTCACGCTCGCGCTTGGGCTTCTTCGGGGCCTGTACATGCATTCCAAGCGCTCCAAACCAAAAAGCAACAACACGAACAACTGTTGTAGTAGGTTGAAACGGGAGGAACAATCACTACAGCAATCGGTACAGCAGTAATTCTTTAAGGGAAATGGCTTTCGGACTGAATTGGATGCTGTGTTGGGATTCATGCGAGAGATCTCGTTGCCAACATGTGGCTGTCACAGCGCTTGAAGACTGTCTCTCGAAAACAACCGTAAACGCCAGACAAAAGAATTGATGAATCGTACACTAGCAATGAACAGCGGATGAACATAGCTGACATACCGAGCGTGATAACTCAAACCATTATGTTTGTGGGGACAGCGAGGAGGAATCAGAAGGAGAGCATAACGCAATGGCAGCGGTAGAATTCCAATTCTCCAATTTTGGAATCTGACGGCCGAAGTGTATATTCACACCCTGAACCCATAAATCCAAACTCCAAATGAAACCCTAAACCCTAAACCCCGAATCCCTTGGAGCCTGCTCCTCCTTGACCTGCTCGACAGCCCATGTCATCTTACGAGTTTTCATTGAACTCAAACAGTAGGGCTTACGGTTTAGGGGTTTAAGCACCCTGAACAGCTTCACTTCCATGTGTTCTGAGGGCAACATAAGGTTACATGAATCAACACAGGGTGTGGATGGGGGGGGCGGTGGACAGTAATACCCATTTTCTCATGCTGTTGTCATGGTGCGCGCACCATCACCAAAAGCCTTGCGCCAAGACATAGACGCTCCAGGAGGGTGGGTCTTCACCCGTGCCCTCAAGACATGAAAACCAGAAAGGATCAGAAAGCGCCGAGAAAAAGCGAAGGGCAAGCCGATGGAGCAAGCGGATTTCATTGTGCCTCTCTGTGCGACGCCGGCTCCGGGGTCTCCACTGGGAGCGGCTCGATTGCCTGCCGAGTAAGAAACTAACCCTTATCACCGGATACACCGTGACGTTGTCATCTTTCTTGCATGGGGGATGGCGCGGGCGCGACCCTGTGCCGCACTCGCACGCCTTCGCCGATGCCGGCGCCGATTCTGTCGTCGGCGGACCGTGATCCTGAAGCCGGTATGCTCTTGATTTTCCAGCGGTTGCAGCTTCGTTCGTTTGGCCGGAATTCGGTGTCCGTACACAGAGCTTGTGACTGCAGCTTTATACTTTATACTCTGCTTCTGACTTGAGCTTCAAACTTGTTTATACTTACACAGTGTCCACGCCACATTGGCTCAAGGGTCGTTCCAATTTGCAGGCGCTGGGCCCTAGAAACCATAGAACCGCGGTAAACAGCGAAACCATGAACACCATGCAAGACATGCCGTCGATCCAGTCACAGCTTCTTCCTGTGAACATCTTGTGAATGAGAACTTTAGCTGCTCTAGCTGCCTGCAGATGGTCGAAATCTGGATCGTCGCAGCGGGCCAAACAAGGGGTGAGATTTGCTAGCTTTGAACAGCATGCAGCTGCAGCTCCATGCGTGGCAGGCTGTCTGTGCAGAGTCTGCAGTCGTGCCTTCTGCGGCATGGCTGCTGGAGAACCACCTGCTGCGTTGCCTCCCTCCTGGCCGGGTCGGTGGAATGAGGGGAGCTGGCAGAAAACGTGACCCGAGCAACTGTCTTCTTCTGACGTGGAGGCAGCATCTTCCTGACAAGAACTGCCGTGAAGTGCCCCACATCTGACTGAAAGCATGCTCCTTGACAAGGTGTGCAGCGTTAGCATTAATACTCTGAGTTCTTTCGCACCCCAGGATCTACCTTGCCTTGTAAGGCGGTTGCTTAGTCCACAGACGACGGCGCTTTGCAAAGCGATTGCCAAGAAGCGTCGGCAAGCCACCCTGCCAGCACAACTCGCGAGAGCATGTGAGAGCTACATCCTATGCCGGCAAAGCATCAGACCTAGTTCTCAATGCCTGGACGATATGAATAATCACAAGTCATAGCTCGCACTGGCAAGGTGAATCTATCGTTACCGCAATTGCAATGCATATGATCCTACCCTAAAGGCGGGCGGCATTCACACCCCGTAGGGCATGAACACGGCACCAGCCTGGAAGTTCGACTTGCATTCTCCTGCCAAACTAGGCCCAGCAGCTTTCCAGCAGGCCGTCAACATATGTCAATGCAGCAACCAATCTTTTTCCGATCTGCCCACGAGGAGAGCGCATCCAGACAAGTAGCTCTACACAGCAACGAAAAGAGCAACACCTCCGAAGGGATACGTCCACTCAGCTGCGGAAATGCCTCGCCCCACCAGCACTGCAAGCGAGCGCCCCAAAGGCTGCCCATCTCAACACATGCACTCAAATACACTGCGCTTGAGATGGTGTTGGCGGCACATCTATCGCTGCCTCTTTGAATGTGCCGTTTTGTGCCCATCGTCTTGATCCAATCTCCTTTTCTTGTCCCAGCTGTCTCGGAAGTCCTTCGCTTCCCCTACAGAGAGGAACGCCTTGGCGGCCGACTTCCTGGCCTCGGGTATGGTTCGCGATGGTTCTCCGGCGGCCTCTCCCATGCCAGCCACAGAAACAGTTGCTGTGTACCAGATCACATTGCCCAAATCTCGACATTCCGTCACATCATACTTGACCAGATTGTTCGGCGCACGCGTTTCTTTGTTCACTTTCTGCACGAAGGCATTCACAATGTCAAGTACATCACTCATTTTGCAAGAGGCTCAACCTCCTCAGATACGTTTCTTGTTATTGTAAGACCACATGGGGTTGTATTCATCTTTGAAGATATGATATCCTTCTAGGGGCCATCATGCCCTTTCCCAAACATTCCGGCTTGAGCCACAAGCCCTGCAAGGACACGTTGCAATGGTGCACGTGACAACTGCTCAACAAAAGACCCGCGCACGCCACAATCCCGATGCGGCGCGTTCCATGTTGCATTCTCTGCAGAACTGTGTTGAGGATGTTCTGTTTCGATGCTATGCTTCTTTGGCGGTTTTCATCAGGCGGCTTGTCAACCGTATTCCTCCTCTGACCAATTTGTGGAGCGATGGTTCAACGAGCCATGGCCGGCAGAACTCGAGTTCCGACTGCAAACGCTCATACATAAGCCATCATGCCAGAACATCTACCCTGTCACAGGCCAGCCTGCTGACCCTCGTGGAAGTCGATTCCATTCACCTCGTCGTGCGGTGAAAACTGACGCAGGCGACCGCTGCTGAGCTTCTGACACCGCAATTACAACACGTTCTCGCTGCTGCAGTTCGATTGCACCAGCCGACTTAATCCTGCTTCTGCAGCTCTTGTTCACGTCCCTTCGAGCCTGGTGCCCCTTTTCAACGCCCAGCTTGAACTGCTGGGTGCCTGCCAAGTGTTGAGCGTGCATGTGCAGGGCAGCTGAAACACATCGAAGGCTCCACTGTATCTCCAAACAAGTGCCCTCGTGCAGAATCCTTCTTGTGACCTAGGCCTAGGGCTACCCCTGCTCCGAGCGTCAGACTCATTGCCACACTATGGACCGGAGCTTTGTGAAGGTTGGAGCTTTGCCTGAAAGGTCGAAATCAGCTGCTCCTAAACCGAGGCCGCGGTTTGACGCAAAACTACGACTAGCCACGGACGGGGCGCAAAAGATAAGTGCATTGAAGCTATGGATCCCCTTGCGAACGCACCCACAGCCTGTCCATAACGAATCGCTCGCCCCTGGCAGCTCGTCGTTGCTAAGCATCAGATCAGGAGTCTTGAATAAGTCTTGAAAAGCAGTCGCACACAAGCTTCCTAATCTCTCATGGCTTCGACTGAAGATACCTGAAAAGTCTTGACTGTGCGCTTGCGGCAGAAGACTGCCCGAGCTACTGCATGTCTTGCTGTGCACACATTTCTGCACTGCTCCACACCAGTCACCAGATGGCTGCAAAAAGAATCCTGACCCGAGGTGAACAGAAGGAACTTTCGCGACACGAACTTCCAAAGCTCAGTCACCCCGAAGGGTTCATCCCATGATCTCCTCAGGTTGGTTTCAGGTGCTTTGCGGGGGTGCCTCTCCAAGGCCATGGATGGCTTCGCCGACGCCCCAGTCGGTGCTGCGAATGCAGGCAAGGTTCTAGGGGCTCAATACGAAAACCACCCGCGAAGTCCCTCTTCTGTTGAAGGTCCAGGGGCGGGTCCCCAATGCCTGCTTAGTTTCTGGCCAGGAGTCTATGCAAACGCATGTGCATTCGATGCCAACAGTCTCTGGCCCATCAAACAGGGTCGAGCAGAAGCATACGCGACGTTCTCGCCATACTAAAGCCCTCTGCACTCGCCCGCAGCCGGGTGTCGCCTGGAAGAACGGTTGGCTGGCCTCAGGAGATCCAGGGACTGCTGCAAGAGACGGAACGAAGCAAGTTCCGTTGTCCCTGTCACGATACCCCTGCAGAGCTCCTTCGAGTAACGAGGCCTTCAGGAAAAACACTGGAAAAACGATGACGTCTTCCTCTCGACTCCCGACTTACAGAGAGAGGGAGGGAGAGAAAGAGAGAGAGACAGAGAGAGAGAGAGAGAGAGAGAGAGAGAGAGAGAGAGAGAGAGACAGAGAGAGAGCCGTACACGACTCCACAAGCCTTCACGTCTCGAAGAAGGCTTGTGCAACGCATCGCGCACTGGATGCTTCACTCGAAACACTCTTCTCGTCGGTTGACACGCGGTTCGCTGCTGGTCCGGGGCCCAGGCTCAGAACGACTGGCTTCGCTGCCGTCTGTTCGCTACTGGCCCTGAGCAGTAGCAGCGGGACGGGACGCAGTGGGACGGTTGACGCGTTGCGACGACTCTCTGAGCCGAGGGTCCGCTCGAGCTGCTGCTGGAGACAGTTGTTCTGCTGCCCTCAGCAAAGGAAAGAACAGAAGGCTCTGAAGCAGAAAGGCACAGCACAGGGTTTCGTTTGGGTAGCAGGCGAAGCGCATCGCGCTCCTGTGTGACTTGTTGCAGCTGCTCCTGACGGTGACACGAGAACAGAGGTGTCATGAACATGGACATCCAGCCATCCACGACTACAATTGAAATTAGTATGAGATCATCGCAACAAAAGCATGCGAGACGTGCATCAGAAACCACCTCAAGTCGACGCTCTGCAAACCATTAAATCTCTATGTGTTTGCCGACTGTGGATCACCTGCAACTTCTGGAACTCTTTGTTGACCTGGCCCAGGCAGAAGCTGAGGACAGTGTACGCCAGCGGTGCCCCAATCCGTCTTGCCACCCGAGACCGAAACCCCGCAAATGACTTCAAGCTTCTGTGGCACGGACTATGGCTGTGACAAAGCAACAAAGCGCCTTGTTGAAGAATTCCATACTTCTTGAAAAATGTTCCTGTGTCTCCTGACACAGATTCAAGACAGGTTCAGGTGGCTGTCACGGGCGATGACAGATTTAGCAATTAGCCAGCACAGACTGACACGCCTTTTTGGCTCCTCAACAGTCGAGACTTGTCGGCAGCAGACTTGGTAAGGACATTTGGATAAGGCATACGCTGTCTTGAAGGCACTCCAGGACGAGAGCCCGAAATGCCAAAGAGCCTTTCCCTCCCTGCTCTAACCTTTGGCACCTAACGGCTTGATACTCCAACGAAGATCCTCCTTGAGAGAGTCGGGAATGTGTTCGATCTGCGCACACAGACACAGTTAAAGATCGTCGAAACCGCTGCCGTGAAGCATCCCGCGCCCTTTGCCTTGAAGGGCATGGTCAGCTCTGTTCCGCTCAAGGAGCGCAGGCCCCCCTGAGAGGCAAGCAGTACTTGGAGCAAAGAGTCATCCCCCACACCCTTATGAGATGTGGTCTTTAGATACGATGGCACAAGACTAGCAACAACAGTCTTGCCTCTTCACATCCCAGTCCGACAAAAACACTAGCAAGGTTTAGCAAGTCTCTGACCGATCACCTGCAACCCCACAGATTTCTCACTGGATCCGCACTCACATGCAGTCTCCTCTCACAGACCTTTCCAAACGGGTCCAAGTTTATTTTGGGTATGTTTTATGTTTTTTTGGGTAGTTTGTGTGATTTTCTGGGTCTGGATTGTAGAAAACCCTGTAAGGGTCACACGGAGGGGTCTGATTTTGGATATTCTTGGGTATTTTTATGGTTTTCTGGGCCTGGATTGTCGAGAACCTGCACACGTGTATGTTGGTCATACGCCACCCTCAACCAGGCTAGCAGTTTTCCACGTACGATTCGCTGTTCGCATTCAACTCATAAGTTACGGACTTGGTACAACTGGTTTCTTGATCAAGTGTAAGCATGGTGCGTTGAACTTCTTATGCATCATGGATATACCGTCGCCAAGTTTTCCAACGCCATTCGAAGGCTGTTCCACTATGACTTTGCCAGTGCTGATGCATCACACGCTTCATTCATCTTGGTATAAGCAGGACAGTCTATAGGTAGCTGTGGCTTCATGCTAACGTGCACAGTCTTGTAAGCTTAGGCTGGTATCTTTCTTTAGTCGATTTGGCATTATTTGTTGGTGGTGGTATGTCTTGTGGCTTTCCAATTCTCCTTTCCCCACATCTGCCAGTGAAAGTCGGGAAGCCATCCACACAGCGAAGCAACAACAACCAAAAACAAGAGCCCCCAAAATACGCAGCTACTACAATAGTTTGTCCTCTTGCAATCGTCTACAGTCTGCAATCTCACCGACAAGTCAACTCTGCGAAAACTTGGGGCTCAAGGCCTCCCGGCACATTGCTGAAAGAAGTCTATACGTGAAACCCTTTGACAGAAAAAGGCTGACGACTCCAGGACTAAAGTAGGGGCCTTAATAGTTAGAATAGGGTTTTGGGGTATATTATACCATAATTACCATGCAACGCCAGCATCTTTAGCCTTCAACACGGTGCTTGAGTTGCAAACTAGACGCGACGAGGTCACCAAAGTCCTCACATCTCTTGCGCGCATGCTTCGAAACTCCAGTGTACCCCAACATGACAAATGGCAGGTTCTACTTTATCAACCAAGCATCACCTTGAAAACAGTCCGGGAAATCAAGCTTCCAGGAAAAAACCCTTTCGTTGCAGTCGCACCTCGGGAGATTTTGACATTGCTGCACGAAGTCTTGCGCTAGCTTTCACCAAAGTTCGCTGCTGCGTTTCTTGCTGCTGTAGATATCTGAACGAAAATTCTGCTACTGCTGCGTCAGTACGGCTCGTCACTGCCAGGATGCAGCTGGAGCCAACAAAACAGCAACAAATAAGAAATAATCTCAAATTGCAAAGCAAGGTGGGCCAGGACATTGTATATCAAGGGAACAAAAATGCACCGAGGAAAGCAGGATCCCCTTTCGTTCACAGGCACGCAAGTCAAGGGACGACTGCGCACCTCCTCAGAACAACCACAAACCCAAAAGACCCCTTTTATTCTCAACCCTATGCCCAAAAGCACCTATACACTCTCGAGTCCGACCCGAACCCAAGTGGCGACGCTGAAATTCGGTTCCAGTTCAAGATACATGTGGCCGCTGATCTCAACCCCATGTGTGAACACTGCCCACGAGACTGAGCGGCCTAGCATAGGGCTAAGGGCCGTGATGCTTTGCACACGTCTGAAATCAGCCTGGCCTAAGGGCCTAGCATCACTTCCTTTCGGAGCACCTCGCATTGTGTGGTCAAGTCGCCCACTTGTGGACTCTTCGTTCGTGAAGCCGAAAACAGGATGTTACGTAAGGCTGTTGTATAATCCACGAGGCTTTGGGACATAGTTGTAAACGTTGTAAACATACACACATCTTGAAGCAATTCACAGAAGCAACTACCTCTCCGGCCTTGCTCTTCTCACGTTTCGCTTCCTCACCTCTTTGGCATGTGCCTTTTTGGCAACGCTTCAACTGGCGAAAGCCAGACTATACGAAGCTTCGTCCAGTTTCGACGAGCTTCCAAGAATTCTGCATGCGCCTGGTCCACAAGCTGTCACAAAGTCTCACCGCGAAGTCTCGACACCATCACGGTTGCCGCCAAGCGAACCTTCAGAAATAACGAACGGGATTCAAGAATGCCCACTTCGTTCTATCAACCGCATAGCAGGCCTTCCAACGACCGTCAAATGCTAGGGAGTACAGCTCCTCGATGATCTCTGTAACCACACGCGGGCACTGCTGACGCAGCATGTCAGCCAGTCGTGCCAGGTAGAGCAAACCTTTTTGCAGCACATGCTGAGTTTCATTTCACCATAACTTTGGTACAGCTTAGCGGAACCGTTGCAACCACCTAATGCTTTGAAGATACCGGCTAGACTGCAAAGTTGGATTGCCGGTCAAAGGCAGCATACCTGTGAGCCAAGCAGCTATCACAAGACCTCTGTAATGACGCCCTCAATGTCATAGGATGCTCCGTCAAGGCCATATTGCAACACGTTTCCAGAACGTCTGGCCTGCGCTGACAACATGGTTTAAAGTCATAAAGTAAGGACTTTCAGGCGCACAACAACTACTGCTACTACTCATCCTCCTCCTCTTACTACTAGTACTAGTACCAGTACTAGTACTGGTACTAGTACTAGTACTAGTACTAGTACCAGTACCAGTACTAGTACTAGTACTAGTACTAGTACTAGTACTAGTACCAGTACCAGTACCAGTACCAGTACCAGTACCAGTACCAGTACCAGTACCAGTACCAGTACCAGTACCAGTACTAGTACTAGTACTAGTACTAGTACTAGTACTAGTACTAGTACTACTACTACTACTACTACTACTACTACTACTACTACTACTACTACTACTACTACTAGTTACTACTAGTTAGTACTACTACTACTACTACTACTACTACTACTACTACTACTACTACTACTACTACTACTACTACTACTACTAGTTACTACTACTAGTACTTACTACTACTACTACTACTACTACTACTACTACTACTACTACTACTACTACTACTACTACTACTACTACTGCTACTCCCCTTTAAGCCCTGCCACTGCCTTACCACAGCCACTTACACCAACGTCTAAGACCACGCTAGGGTTACTGTCACTGATGCTTTCACGGCTCCTCAGACTGTGCAACAGCTGCTTCTCCTACTTCTTAAGCGCAAACGTCCGCCTATCATCCAAAATCATCTGTCGAAGGACCGCGACCAGGACCTGACAAGACAAAAACATATTATGTTTTTGCGGGGTTCCGGTAATTAGGATTGCAGAATTTGGCCCCATCTAAACTGTTATGCAACCCTCTTATTATCCACAAACAATAGTAGTAGAGACAGCTAGGCGCTAGGGTTGTGCAACAACCCCGTTGCATTTTGCTTCACCCGACATGCTGCCATCATCGTATTCTACCCTCTTCGTAAAGACGTGTACGTTATCGTTCTTGCTATGATTATTGTTCTTGTTTTGCTCCTATATAATTTGTCCACCTATAGTTTCCCACATGTTGCGCTGCGCAGCACGCCGGGGTTCTGCAAAAGACACGCCTGTGGTTCCAGCAACGGCCCACGAAAGGCACAGCGCCAATGAAGCATATCCGGTGCCTGAAAGCAAGTTCTACTCCGCTGTGTTCACTTAGCGTAGTTTACGTTTTTAACCCCACAGCAGCGCCATATCTGCCACTCGCCTCCGCAAATTTTGCGAGCACAATTGGAGGAACCCTCCTTGGGACAGCAATGCCCGGGTACATTGCCTTCAGACTCGCTTTCGCAAACACAGCCTCCGACCACATCAAGAACATGCTGCATTCAGCTGAGACATGCTGAGACTGTCCATCTGCTATCAAGCCGCAAACGGAGGATGTCTCCCGGAAATGCCCTCAGGCGGACATGGCACACATTCGCACGGCAATCAAAGAGAAGTAGGGACTGGCTACAGCAACAGCAGCAGGAACTCGTGTGTTGCATTCCACGGCGCCTTGGTGCTTCGATGACTCGCACGGTATTGCGCAAATCCCCGCGGAGGATTGGTCGAGGTATCACTTCCTCCCAGAGGAGCTTGCGTGCAAGAGCCTCGTTCCTGCGGGGTCAGAGGCGACCAGGCTAGAAGTAATTCAAAGGCATCCAGAAATCGTATAGCACCATGCCGAACATTCGGGGCAGTGCGGCCTCCATTCAAAGTTGGCTTCAATGTCATGCACCAAGGCACGTGGAGCGCAATCACCTCTGCAGTGTTGGTCGCAGAGATCTTCGCGTTTGCGCGCCTTCAAATACAGGGAACCAACCTCGTAGGAGCTGCGACATATGTGCCCATCGGCTTCGCATCCTTGACTCAACATGTTGCCGAGTAGTGTCCGTCGTGAGTCTGCGATCATCAACGACCCATTCCTGCCATGTGGCCTGTCTCCCTGCAATCGAGCCGCAGCTTCACTGCTCCCTCGTGCAGCGATGCAGACTCCGCTTGCGCCTGTGCTTCTTCGAGCATCAGCATAGCTTACATTCTCTTTTGTTCGTCACGCCTCCTAGCAACATCTGGAACTAAATCTCCAGGTTCGCACTACCAGCAGCAGCACTGCCTGCCCATGCTTCCGTGATCCAACCGAAGGAGCACACCTCTGCAGCCCGCTGCTGCTTGCCAGACTCGAGCTCGGTGGACACCTGAAAGGCCAGGGAGGGCAAGGGAGAGAGGTATCTCCTGTGTCAGCACAAGTCCCCGTGCAAACCGCTCCCATGCTCCAGGGCTGCTAGATGCATGTCACAGACTTCTAAGTCTTACTTGAACCAGTGACTCCAAACCTGGAAACGATGACTCCTGAGAAACGGGCCTTCGTCGCGGGTTCCTCTGCAGGTGGGCTGCTTTACTTTCGCACTGGGGATACGGCCTCTTACGGCTCAGGATAACATGCTGCCCTCCTTCGCCAACACCATCAATCACCATCGTTTGTTACGTGTTTGCAAGGGTTGCACAGCTCTGGTGCTAAGTGCTGTCGTCTCTTATTGGAGGTGTGGGCATGTGTTTTCTTCTATTGGTTCGGAGAGGTGCTGGGGCAACAAGGAAGTGATCTTAACAGGATTCCGATTGAAACTCAACAGCTCCGTATAATGCTAGACAGCATGTTTGTAGGGTTCTAACAGCAGTCTGATAAGTGCCAGCGTCGGGTTCGAGGAGGTCCTTGAAGTTCCAACCGATGCTACTCGTAGTGCAGCGGAGCTCTGTTTGCCTCAAAGGGCTCTAACAGGTCGTTCGTGGGGACATCCATCGGCTCACAGTTAGGTGAGCAGAAGTCGACAGAGGGATTTGCAAGAATTCCAGGACAGTATCCTGGAAGAGTGCGACGAATCGACTTTAACTTTAAATCCACAAACCCCTCCAACCCGCTCCAGCGTATAGGACAAACCCGAAGTGTCAGCGCCAGGGATGAGAGCCGCTGCCCGCCTCTGACTGTGAGGGAGCAGCTCGCAGTGATGTGCACTGCGCCAACCTGGGACGGCTGACAGCTTTGTCAAGCATAAGCATACTCTTGAACTTCGTCATTGTCGCCAGTCTATATTGCGATAAACTCAATCCATCATGGAGGCCGTGTGCTTGCAGCCGAGCCGCTGCCCGCCCACTCCTTCTCGAAGCGATGAAGACTGCGTCTGGGCCTGCACTTCTGGGAGCATTCTGCGTTGCTGGGCGTCCCCTGCTTGCTTCGAACTTCAGGCTCGCAACACCTTGCAACATGTCTTTTGCCACTCCGGGCTGGAAGTTGCCAGCATGATGAATGAGCAGACGTCTGCAGCCAGCTGCTGTATGCCACACCCGAGCTCCTTAGACACCACCTGAAACACCGCAGCGAGCACGGCGCAGCGAGAGAAAGAGAAAGTGCGGGAGGAAGGATCGTGCGGAGGTACCATGCGATCGGCTGACAAGGCATCTCTCCTCTTTAGGCTTCCTCTTATGCATCTGCCGGTGTCTGCTCCCTTCAACCAGAAAATAGCTCCCTGCCGACCTCTGGGTGTGAAAGAGCTGCTAGCGGCGACGCGCTCTCCGCCAACCTGGGAGGCTGGCAGTCGTATCACGCAGCTACATCTGAAGAACCGCGTTCCAGTTCACATTGCGATCATCAACGACCCATTCCTGCTGCAATCGAGCCGCAGCTTCACTGCTCCCTCGTGCAGCGATGCAGACTCCGCTTGCGCCTGTGCTTCTTCGAGCATCAGCATAGCTTACATTCTCTTTTGTTCGTCATGCCTCCTTGCAACATCTGGAACTAAATCTCCAGGTTCGCACTACCAGCAGCAGCACTGCCTGCCCATGCTTCCGTGATCCAACCGAAGGAGCACACCTCTGCAGCCCGCTGCTGCTTGCCAGACTCGAGCTCGGTGGACACCTGAAAGGCCAGGGAGGGCAAGGGAGAGAGGTATCTCCTGTGTCAGCACAAGTCCCCGTGCAAACCGCTCCCATGCTCCAGGGCTGCTAGATGCATGTCACAGACTTCTAAGTCTTACTTGAACCAGTGACTCCAAACCTGGAAACGATGACTCCTGAGAAACGGGCCTTCGTCGCGGGTTCCTCTGCAGGTGGGCTGCTTTACTTTCGCACTGGGGATACGGCCTCTTACGGCTCAGGATAACATGCTGCATCATGCTGCCCTCCTTCGCCAACACCATCAATCACCATCGTTTGTTACGTGTTTGCAAGGGTTGCACAGCTCTGGTGTTAAGTGCTGTCGTCTCTTATTGGAGGGGTGGGCATGTGTTTTCTTCTATTGGTTGGGAGAGGTGCTGGGGCAACAAGGAAGTGATCTTAACAGGATTCCGATTGAAACTCAACAGCTCCGCATAATGCTAGACAGCATGTTTGTAGGGTTCTAACAGCAGTCTGATAAGTGCCAGCTTCGGGTTCGAGGAGGTCCTTGAAGTTCCAACCGATGCTACTCGTAGTGCAGCGGAGCTTTGTTTGCCTCAAAGGGCTCTAACAGGTCGTTCATGGGGACATCCATCGGCTCACAGTTAGGTGAGCAGAAGTCGACAGAGGGATTTGCAAGAATTCCAGGACAGTATCCTGGAAGAGTGCGGCGAATCGACTTTAACTTTAATTCCACAAACCACTCCAACCCGCTCCAGCGTATAGGACAAACCCGAAGTGTCAGCGCCAGGGATGAGAGCCGCTGCCCGCCTCTGACTGTGAGGGAGCAGCTCGCAGTGATGTGCACTGCGCCAACCTGGGACGGCTGACAGCTTTGTCAAGCATAAGCATACTCTTGAACTTTCTCATTGTCGCCAGTCTATATTGCGATAAACTCAATCCATCATGGAGGCCGTGCGCTTGCAGCCGAGGCGCTGCCCGCCCACTTCTTCGCGAAGCGATGAAGACTGCGTCTGGGCCTGCATTTCTGGGAGCATTCTGCGTTGCTGGGCGTCCCCTGCTTGCTTCGAACTTCAAGCTCACAACACCTTGCAACATGTCGTTTGCCACTCCGGTGAGCAGACCTCTGCAGCCAGCTGCTGCATGCCACACTCGAGCTCCTTAGACACCACCTGAAACACCGCAGCGAGCACGGCGCAGCGAGAGAAAGAGAAAGTGCGGGAGGAAGGATCGTGCGGAGGTACCATGCGATCGGCTGACAAGGCATCTCTCCTCTTTAGGCTTCCTCTTATGCATCTGCCGGTGTCTGCTCCCTTCAACCAGAAAATAGCTCCCTGCCGACCTCTGGGTGTGAAAGAGCTGCTGGCGGCGACGCGCTCTCCGCCAACCTGGGAGGCTGGCAGTCGTATCACGCAGCTACATCTGAAGAACCGCGTTCCAGTTCACATTGCGATCATCAACGACCCATTCCTGCCATGTGGCCTGTCTCCCTGCAATCGAGCCGCAGCTTCACTGCTCCCTCGTGCAGCGATGCAGACTCAGCTTGCGCCTGTGCTTCTTCGAGCATCAGCATAGGTTACATTCTCTTTTGTTCATCACGCCTCCTTGCAACATCTGGAACTAAAGCTCCAGGTTCGCACTACCAGTAGCAGCACTACCTGCCCATGCTTCCGGGAGCACACCTCTGCAGCCCACTGCTGCTTGCCAGACTCGAGCTCGGTGGACACCTGAAAGGCCAGGGAGGGCAAGGGAGAGAGGTATCTCCTGTGTCAGCACAAGTCCCCGTGCAAACCGCTCCCATGCTCCAGGGCTGCTAGATGCATGTCACAGACTTCTAAGTCTTACTTGAACCAGTGACTCCAAACCTGGAAACGATGACTCCTGAGAAACGGGCCTTCGTCGCGGGTTCCTCTGCAGGTGGGCTGCTTTACTTTCGCACTGGGGATACGGCCTCTTACGGCTCAGGATAACATGCTGCATCATGCTGCCCTCCTTCGCCAACACCATCAATCACCATCGTTTGTTACGTGTTTGCAAGGGTTGCACAGCTCTGGTGTTAAGTGCTGTCGTCTCTTATTGGAGGGGTGGGCATGTGTTTTCTTCTATTGGTTGGGAGAGGTGCTGGGGCAACAAGGAAGTGATCTTAACAGGATTCCGATTGAAACTCAACAGCTCCGCATAATGCTAGACAGCATGTTTGTAGGGTTCTAACAGCAGTCTGATAAGTGCCAGCTTCGGGTTCGAGGAGGTCCTTGAAGTTCCAACCGATGCTACTCGTAGTGCAGCGGAGCTTTGTTTGCCTCAAAGGGCTCTAACAGGTCGTTCATGGGGACATCCATCGGCTCACAGTTAGGTGAGCAGAAGTCGACAGAGGGATTTGCAAGAATTCCAGGACAGTATCCTGGAAGAGTGCGGCGAATCGACTTTAACTTTAATTCCACAAACCACTCCAACCCGCTCCAGCGTATAGGACAAACCCGAAGTGTCAGCGCCAGGGATGAGAGCCGCTGCCCGCCTCTGACTGTGAGGGAGCAGCTCGCAGTGATGTGCACTGCGCCAACCTGGGACGGCTGACAAGCTATGCTTCACAAGCTTGAGTGCAGACGCACGGACGAACACTTTTTGTCCACTCTTCCCTTCCGGATGGTGGCGAACTAGGTCGTCAGCTCGCTGCGACCTCGAACTGTAAAGTTCCGAAACGAAAAAGCTTCACAGGAGGCGCAACGAACTAGCCGGACTCTGTACTTCCGGGTGGGAGAGGTGGGAAAAGCAAAAACTCTACCGCTCGCACTTTCCTCGGGCCTTCGCACTGCGAGGGCTGCGAACGTTATGCTCGGAAAGTTCTCGCTACGCTTGTCACTACGAACACACGTGTTCTGCACGACAAGCTATGCTTCACAAGCTTGAGTGCAGACGCACGGACGAACACTTTTTGTCCACTCTTCCCTTCCGGATGGTGGCGAACTAGGTCGTCAGCTCGCTGCGACCTCGAACTGTAAAGTTCCGAAACGAAAAAGCTTCACAGGAGGCGCAACGAACTAGCCACCCAAAGCGCACTGTGAAGCCACCCTTGCCTTGTGCGCGTCAGCGAAGTTGTGTCGCCAAGACTTCGACCAACTGAGCGAACTCTTCGTAGTAGCTCTGGCAGTCGTCGCGAAAGTGTTCAAGCAGCGGCCAGACTTCCTTGAAGGAAACCTCGTGGAACTCCCCGTCAGCGGACTGTAGGTCACCGAGGTCTCCCCTCGAGATGCCGTCGGAGATGTTCTCTTCGCTCGAAACTCTGTGAAACGAAACTGACAGCGACCTTGAAGCAGCCCAAACCCAAAAAGCTCCAATGACAGCCGAGAGTCTGAGGTCCTTGGAGTAGCCCTTATTGAGCGCGTGCTCTGCTGCAGTGTTGTCAATCCAACAACACACGTGGGTATCGAACAGATTGCAAACGACCGCCAGCGAGATCAGCTGTGCTAATGCCTCTAACCAATATATATACGCCCGGGAGGCGGCCAGATTGGCTAGAACTGAAGATGGTACCTCGCCTCTGAATCCCAAAGGACGGCGACCCGGCAAAAACACGATCGCACCAAAGCCGTTGGTGGCCGTGCGAAGCTCCTGGGCCGGCGGGAGCTCTGGTAGCCACTTGTTAGCAACACGGCGAACTCCGTGTACTGTCAGGAAGGCATCAGCATACAAATGTGCGACCGGCCGACTGCGCTCGTATGGGTTCACCGCGAACCGTCTGGGCTGCAACCTCGGTAGAAGGTCTTTAAGTTGGTGTAGTGCTTGCTGCAACCTGGGAGTCAGCGGACTCGAGCCAGGTGAACCGTGATGCTGCCTCTGGTAAAGTGGTTGGAGCAGCATGCGACCCACATGGTTGAAGACCCATGTGCACGTAAAGCAAAGCTTGCCTGTGAGCTGTGAGCATTCGGATGCTGAGATGCGACCTCTTGAAAGAAACTCGCTGATAGTCTGCACCAGCTTCTCCACCCTGCGAGCTCCGGGGGAGGCGAGGATAGCCTCGGCGGTGAGCGTCCATTCGATGCCCAACAGTGTCTGGGCGAACCGGGGTTCCTTGGACTTCTCTTCCTTCATGCGGAAACCCAGGACTCTGTGGAATGCTTGAAAGACTGCGAAACCGGACAAGGCTGTCCTGGATCGCTCGAGAGAAAAGAAGTCATCGACGTAGTGGGCGGCGAACATCAGAAGTAGCGTGATGGTCAGGAACGAAACGACGTCCGCGACCCGAAGGTAGGCCCACACGGAGCCAACCGACCCGAAGGGGAGGGCGTTGTGAGCCCATAAGCTCGGAGATTCTCCTGGCATCACCAGTCCACACTCGGTGGGTTCGCGCACTGGTAACGACCTGTAGGCCCCTTCGTGATCGATGGCGCCCAGGAGCACTGGCTCGTCGAAAGTCTCGGAACACTGGAGCGCCCCGCCCACAACTGTCGGGCCTCCGAGGTATGGCGGAGTGTCGGCTGCCGAAATGGTGCTGTTATGGAGCGACCTCAACCAGTCGTCTGCACGCCGAACTTTGTCGTTCTGCACAACGGCAAATCCTCGAGCGACCTGAATAGAAGATGGCTCCTGCTCCGTCCCAAGGAGGGATAAGGGGAGCGGGCCTTGCACGCGGCCTAGGTCACGTTCCTTCTCCAGCTCGGCAAGCATAGGATCGTTGTGTTCGGGCTCTCTGGAGGGCTGTCTCAAGGTAACTGCAAGCTTTCTGTTAGCGACCAGGAAGTCTTGTTTGGAAAGGGGGCGTGCGTACTTAGCGTCGTCCCTGTTAAGCCAGCCGGAACCCCGAACTACAGGACCTAACAAGCGAAAACCCCAGAACAACTCGGTCAGTAGCTCGCTGCGGCCTGGAAACTGGCAAAGTTCGAGCAGCCACGCAAGAGGCAAGAGCTGGAACCTGAGTTGTGGCGAGCCTTGTTTGTAGACTGCAGCTACGTGCGCAGGCAGGGTTTGGAGTGCTTCAGTCTGGTCGTCTTGCAACTCTGCGACCAGGTCTTGCAGGTCCCTAAGTACGGCTTCGCGAACTTGTACCACCTTGAGGCCTAGCCTTGCTTGCACCTGGAAGGTCCACGCTAAGCAGGGGTTCAGGGGTGCTGGGAATATGTCTGCGAACGTCAGCAGTTGAGCCCACTGGAAGTGTGCTGTCGCGCCCAAACCTGGCGAACGGAGTTCGTCAGCCTGAGGCTCGTTAGGGTCCCATCGCAATGAGGAGCGTAGCCACCAGGAGGCGACTCGTTGTAGCGGGCGGCTCCCGTCGGGATGCCACCGGACCTGAAAACAAGGGTCTGGCACGTGTGGGTACCACTCCGTAGCGCGAACTGGGTGTGCATCCATCACTCCTGCCTGGCACAGGACCATGAGCACAAGAAGTCTGGCGACTCCTGCGTGCCACGCGTTGCCAAGTAGCCGAGCCCTGGCGTGCGGGGACACGGCCGCTGTGTACCCGCTGGGAAGGAGCTGCAGCCATTCCGTCCTTCTTGCCTGCGACCTTAACCAAGGCGTGTGTGCGAAACTGCCATGGGGGGTAGGAGCCGCTGGCTGCTTTCCATCGCTCCATTGTGCCTGGACTTTCGGAGCGGCGCTTCTTACCTGGGGGTTCGCGGCCTTGTGTGTTCTCAGCCGGCGTGGTAAGGCAAGGAAACCTAATGCGACCCGAAACAACCTCCTCACTAAAAGTAGCAAAAGGGCAGGACTGAGCGACCTGTCGGGGAAACAGAGTGCTATTCGGCAAAAGTTCCCAGTGTCTGTTAAGGCGTCGCCAACGTGCTTGGCCTCCCAGAGCGACCGGTGGTTCGCGTATATTCTCCACGGGAGGGCACACCGCGTTCGACCACCAGAGTCTCGGTCGCGACACTACTCCCCAACTGGACGCGTCGCAGGCGAACGCACGGCAGTGAAGAGCCTTGTCGAGTTCTTGCTGCTGGGAAGCGGACATGTGCACGTTCTCTACTAGAAACAGAACCCGAAAACTAGAAGACTGAACGAACTCCATCAACCAGGCAGCGAACTTAGTGAACTTGGATCCTTCGTGACCTTGTGTGCCTGGTGGATCGCTGCGGATCCTGGAAAAGTCGTGACACGGGGGAGCTGCAAAGAGTAGGACCACCGTATCCTTGGGAACTGAGGCTGAAAGAGCAGCAAGGACCTCGTGAGGTTTGCGACCAAAGACGTCGCCATGGTGAATCATCTCAGGATGCTGCGAAGATGCGACCTTGATGGCCTCAGGGTCGAGCTCCCAGGACCACGAGAGGACGGGACGTATCGCCCAGCTCTTGACGGCGTGCAGGGCCGTGGCTATGCCGTCGAAGAAACTAAGCACGGCGACCGGGAAGCGGGGTTGTTGTGTTGGAAGTGGTGCCGGAATGGCGGGTGGTTGACTCTGGGTGTTAGGCGGAGCCACTTGAGGCTGCAACGCTTGCTGAGCTGTATCAGGTTGCGGAGCCACACGAGGCTGCGACGCGTGTTGTGGAACTTGCTTGGGCGGAGTCACATGAGACATCGACGCCTGTGTGGCAGAGTTGGGGGTCAGCACGACCGGTGTGCGTGACTGTGTGGAGGAGTCGCCTGCACCTGTACCTCTGCTGCGGCCTGGAGCGGGGGGAGGAGGTGGGAAGGGTGGTTTGGCCTGAGACGGAGCTGCAGAGGGGTCGGAGGTCGAAGCAAGGTGCTGTGTACCCTCTCCAACTCGGCGGGGCGCGAACTGTGATCGCGCAGTCTGAACCTGGCTGCTGCAACGACTCGGCACCTGCGGACCTAACCTGTTAACAGGGATTACTGGGTCGGGCGCCAAAGGCGGAGCACACGGGTTAGGGATTAGGGGCCTACTTACGGGCGGGGTATGATTACCGTCTGTTCTTGTGGCGGGTGTCGCCCCCGACGGCTGAGGCGGTCCGAGCTGTCCCTAGTTGGACGGTGGGGGAGGGACACTCCCTTGGGGCGCAGACTGACCCCCGTGTGCGAACTTGCAGCTAGCACCGAACCTGCAGTAACCGGCAGCGAAAAGGCGACACTGCGGTCGTGCTTGACTCGGTTGTTGCTGTCCCCATCCGCTGGATTGGGGGGGCTGCTGCTGCCAGTACGGGGAAGGGCGGCCTAACTTGCCTTTGCCAGAGCACTTTTCGCCCTTCTTGCCCTTTTCGCCTCCCTTCTCGTTGCCTTTGAAGGGGCGTTCCGATGGAACCCAGCGACTCATAGCGTCTTGTTTGGCCTGCGGGGATGTCACCTCGGCGGCCGCCTGCGCGAACGTCTTCCCGGAGCGCAGGGCCATGGCCATTTCCCAGGAAGCCTTCTTCCAGTAGAGGCGAATCTGGCCGAACTTTGACGGGTTGTCCCTCGTCAAGTCTTCCCAAAAGGCGAAGTAGTCTGCCACCTCAGGGTTCGGGCCCCAACGTGCGAACATGAAGGCGAACTTGCAGGCCTCGAATGCGTCCAGCATGGTGACGAGTCTTTGCGGCTCTGGTATCGTCTTTGCGACCTTGGAGAGGGTGCCATCCTCTGACGCGAACAGCTTGGTGGAGGTCTCCGGCTTTGTCGTGGACGAAAAAGGGTTAACCTGCTTGGATGCTGTGAAATGGCGCGAAAAGAGAATCTCGCCGAGGGCCAGCGCGGTGTAGAGCCCTGATTTCTTCTCTGCGACCATACGGCCCAAGGTCTTCTCGGATCCTACCAACAAGTGAGCCGGGAACTTGCGGTTCCTGCCGTCGACCACCGCGGCCTCGTACTCGGTCACGAAGTCGTTCCAGTAGCCGGCTGGCAACTCCTGGGACCTCTCCGACGAACTGGTCGACGTAGTAGAAGCTGCCGGTGCGGCCGGGGCTGCTGGGGAGGCTGCTGTCTTTGTCGCCGCTATCACGTCCAGCAGCTCGAGAACGGTGGCCTGGTCGATCAAGAGCTCGTCGGCCGACCGCCTCTTTGTATCTCCCGCCAACTCGACGCCTGTCCTCAGCGGATCCAGGAATGCCTGGATCTTGGAGCGGTCCGAGAAGAGGTGGTGTAACACTCCTGGTACGTCGACCCCTCTGGCCTTGAAGAGCAAGCGAACCGTCGGGTGCACTGCGGCCTTGTCGCACAACTCGTCGAAGGTTGCCGCCGTCGCCATCGCAGGCGACCTAATCCGATGAATCTGAAGATGAATCAGATCCCTCGGGGGCTGGTGCTTGAGGCTGCAGAGTAAGCGCGACCGGGGTCTCTTCGGGAAAACACACTGGACAGTAGCGAAAACCTGGCAAAAGCGAAGGGTTCCTTTGGCAACTTGCTTTACCGTACTTCCAAAGGCCGCACGCGGACCGCCACTTGTCAGACGGGGTCGAACACTCACTAGCAAAAGGCTTGTGTGCCAGTTTGGAGCGAACATTATGTACAAGAACGCCCTGTCCTCGAAAGCAATCGGCGACCACTGCCCTGATCTGGTCGAGAGCTGCCGGCAAGAGCGCCAGCTGGCCTGATCTCGGAGCCTGCGAACCTGGGGGCAAAGCTGAAGTCCTAAGGGCAACTGCCTGTGATGCCCGGGAAGGGTTCGCCAGGGCAGCCTCCTGAACATACCGATAAATAGCAGCGCTTCCCCATCGACCCAGCAGCATGATGACGTGTAGGTCGAGGTCGGCCCGTGCGAACAGTTGAGCGCCGGCGACGCGGAAGGCGTGTTGGGCCCACCGCTGCAGAACTTGACGGGGCCACTCATGGAGGTCGCCTGCACAAAGAACCCATGCGAACACGCGGGCCAGCCACACGACCTGGGCTTTGGTCGGTGGGCCCGAACCATCGCCGAAAAAGGGTGACTTCGAGCTCCAGCGACCCTGCTTGCGGAGTCGGATCGAACATCGCAATGCCGCGTGATATGCACACAGTGGGTTCCTGCCAAGGGAACAGTTGCATTGCTGCAAAGGCGTGAAAAGGAGGGCCTCGTCACCACTGCGACCACAACCTGGGTCATGTGTTCGCGAACAAATGCAGGCGTGCGACCGGTGGCAACCTCTAGCCGTGGGGTCTGTCTTGGAGATCGGGAGGTTAAGCCTAACGATCCCTTCCCGAGAAAAGCTGACGTCCTCGCATAAGACAGAGGAAATCTCGAGTCCGCGAAGGAGAAACCATGCGGCCACAAGGCCTGTGTCCGAGGGGTAGTCGATCCTGGCGGCCGACGGCACTTGCAGGCGCGCATATGCTGCCTCGATATCGCTGTCGAATTGCCTGGAGCACGCCTCCAAAGGGAAGTCAAGTTTGGCTGCCGAAGGTCCCATGCCCCTCGTGATCGATCGAACTGCTTGAGCAACTGCGTGGTCCAGGGCAGGCGACCAATCGTGTCCCTGCGCCCGGTGTTCCCCTTTTGCCACGCTGTAGTGCTGGGCCGCCGAACGGTAGCGTGCTTGCTTGAGAAGGGCGCCGACCTTGTCGATAAGCTCGACCGTAACCGGGAGAGGGGGCAGGTTCCTCTGTTCCGCGAGGGAGCACCAAAGCTTCCAGCGAGACTCTCTGGGGCCCCTGGAGGTTTTAGCGAACTTGTCTTCTTGAAACGCGACATCTGCGAGAGCCAGCGCGCTCTCTGACTGCACAGACGCGGCCGCACTGCGCGAACCGCGTTGGTACGGGTGTACCACCGGGGCGTCTGCCCTCGCCCGAGCGCGAACCACTGAACGGTTGAACAGCTTGTCGACGGCGGTGTCGCCGATCCACAGCCGCAGCTGTGTCTTGGGGGTGTTCTCGAGCTCACTAGCAGACTTGACGCCATGTGCTCGAAGAGGCTCGAGAGCAGAATGAAGGTCCAAAGACCCCAAGACATGCACCAAGCTAGCGAACGAGGTCCGTTCATGGGGGCACGAGAGATGGAACATGATTGCTCGAGAGGAAGCTGCGGGTAACGGGGGGGGGGGGTTTTCGGTGGCTAACGAGCCACGCTCACGGTGCGAGGGCGAACGAGTGGTAAGAAGGGGGGGGGGGGGCGACCCGAGACGAGAATGAACGACGACCTGCGACCTGACGTGACCTTCCCGAACACTCTGCAACACTTGTACCCGTGCGAACTCACTGTATCACTCTGCAACACATGTACCCGCGCGACCACTCTGCCTAACCTTTGCCTTGCACGACCTTCCAGAAAGCGCACACACTGCAGCAGACTACCTACCTGAACCTGGCATGACCTTCCAGCGTGTGGCGACCTGAACCTGGCAGGACCTTCCCGACCTGAGACCAAATAACACTGCGCTCTGCCAAAGTAAGTTAAGTACGAGCGACCGAGAAAAATGCTCCCACGACTCTCTGTTTTGCTGCGAACAGCACCGGTGCCCCCGTGGGGTTGTGCAGCCCGTAGGCGCGAACTAAGATACTCGCTGCAAAAACGCCCCGAGAAAAGAAGCAACACACAGCTAGGCGAACTACGTGCTTAAGCGAACTCTATGCAAACACTCTGGGGCTGCGGCAGCGTAGGACCCCAAGCGACCTTAGGTACGCCTGGAGTCGAGCCGCTTGGCGTTGTCATGGCATTGCGAACACATGTGGTGCTCGTGCGGCTTCCTGTAGCCCGCACGGTTCACACGTGGGCATGCGCGAAGCCAGCAGCTCGGACAGCGAACGGCACAAACCGAGGTCACATCTGTATACGGGGGGGGTTCGTCTCTGAACACCACCCCCGTCTCAACATCTGCTTGCGGCCAGGGCGCCGTCAGGCCTCGAGGCGCGAACTGCGTGGCCATGATCGGGCCAGGCGGGCCGAACGAAAGAGCGGCCTCCAGGTTCGGGGGGTCCACGGCTGGCCTAGGTCCCGAACGGCGGCCTCGCTGTGTCTGCGCCCCGCTGGGGAAAGACGAAGTCGGAGGCGGAGCGTCTTGGCTCCCATGGGCTTGCGGCCCCTCTGTCGTCGTGCCCTGTGCTGTCGTGGGCGCTGTTGGCGGCAGCCCTGGAGGCGGCCCCTCTGGAGTCGTGCCCTGTGCCGGCTGAGTTGGCGAACTGGTAGAAGAAGCCGCCGGTGTAGTAGTCTCGGCCTTGGCTTTGGCGACCTGCGGCATGGGCTTAGTCGGGGGAGGCTGTGACGGCGGCGGCAGAGGCGGGTCGGCCAGGTCGTCGTCCATGGTGTTGAGGTCGACCACGGGCACCTCCGCGACCCGGGTGGCTGCGTCGGCTGCCTGCATCATAGCGATCGCGTCCTCAGCTGTTGTAGGCTGTAGGTTGCCCGCAAACATCTGCTGGACCTGTACGGGCGTCGCCTTGACTGCGACCTGCTTCGCTTTGACCGGGGGCGGAGCCGGCTGTGCCGCACCACGGGCCGGCTGTGGTGCACCGCGACCCTTGCCCTTTTTGCTCAGAGGCACTGGGTCAGCCTTCGGGGTCGCGACCAGTGGTGGCGGGTCCGCTTTCACGAAGGCCTTGGCTGCTGCGGACATCTGCTTGGGCACTACCAACTGCGGCGGGGGTCCTGTCGTCGGGTCCTTGGCCGGCGGTGCTCCTGTCTGCTTGGTGACCGTCGGGGTGGCGACCACGTCACTGGCACCACCATCCGGACCACTTGGCGCCTTTGGAGCGACCGCCGCATCTGCCCCAAGAGCGGCTGTGGAGCTCGCCGGGCTCGCACTGTGTGTGCCCGTGTCAGCACTACCGACCGTTGGGGCAGCGACCACGGTAGCTGCGTTTGCGGCCGCTGCGTCGGCCTCGTTCAGGCTTTGCTCCACCTGCTCGTCTATAGCGAGCTGCACCACCCTGCGCAGGCGAACCAGGTCATCGAGGTCAAACCTCTGCATCAGGGGGCGTCTTTCATCATCGGCCGAATGAACGACCGTAAAGAGCGCCGCCCACAGGTCCATCTGCGAACTGGGGGTGCTATCACCCCAAGAGCCAGCCATGGCAAGAAGCTTTCGAAAAAGCAAAAACTCTACCGCTCGCACTTTCCTCGGGCCTTCGCACTGCGAGGGCTGCGAACGTTATGCTCGGAAAGTTCTCGCTACGCTTGTCACTACGAACACACGTGTTCTGCACGACAGCTTTGTCAAGCATAAGCATACTCTTGAACTTTCTCATTGTCGCCAGTCTATATTGCGATAAACTCAATCCATCATGGAGGCCGTGCACTTGCAGCCGAGGCGCTGCCCGCCCACTTCTTCGCGAAGCGATGAAGACTGCGTCTGGGCCTGCATTTCTGGGAGCATTCTGCGTTGCTGGGCGTCCCCTGCTTGCTTCGAACTTCAAGCTCACAACACCTTGCAACATGTCGTTCGCCACTCCGGTGAGCAGACCTCTGCAGCCAGCTGCTGCATGCCACACTCGAGCTCCTTAGACACCACCTGAAACACCACAGCGGGCACGGCGCAGCGAGAGAAAGAGAAAGCGCGGGAGGAAGGATCGTGCGGAGGTACCATGCGATCGGCTGACAAGGCATCCCAGAAGATCTGCTTTGGGACTTCCAGACACATGCATGGGGCAGTGTTGCCAGGCCCCACCCCTCCACGCCGCCTGGTATTGCACCTCCCCTTCCCCTCAGTGCGTGGGTTGATTTGGGCTCGAGCCTGTGGGCATGGGTGGTTCTGGTTTCATCCCACATTTTCCTCGGATGCGGGTGGGTTTGTTCTTCGGCGGTTCTGGCTTCAGTCTGTCCCCCTATGGATGGAAGAAAGTGTGTTCTTGGTTCGGATTGCCCCTCTCGCAGTCACGAGACCCCACTATAGACAACCCATCCCTATGGCTGTTGGTGCCCTTCACCACATTTCTCTGATTGTCGGAAATTTTGAGGCGGAATGGCACGCGACTGTCACGCAGATTCCACGCTCGCCTGGCGGCCTGGCCCTCCGTGTCTAACAATCGCCACCCCCTTCCGACGTGGCTGCGGTGAGGTACACCACTTCCCCAAATAGCCATAGTTAGTTAATTTCAACATTTCGGGGCTGAAATATTTCAGAACCTACGTAAGCGAGGGGCATCTGGGGCTTGGGGAATGGGTTGTTGGCCGCTGTGGCCGGGGGCCGAACTGAAAAGCCCACAATTCGGCCTATGGCATCCGCATGCGGCTGCAGTCTGCGCATTGTGCGATGGTTAGCTGTTGTTAGTAATACGACTACAAAAAATATTAATACCAATAATAACAATAAAAGGAAAAGTATTAATACAGAAAATGATTAGAAGAAGACCAATATTAAGTAATAGTTTAGTTGATGCTTTTGTTGCCTTCGTAATTGTAGGAGTAATGGTACTGTAGTGACTGTAATGTATACCATATATGGGGCAGGGCGTGCTTGGGGGCATGTTCTGGAGGATGATGATCGTCCTACCCTTGGCCCTTGGCAACCTGCCCCAAGGCAGCTTGTAATCAGCTATACGCTAAATAAACTTTAACTTAAGAAGAAGTGAGCTTGCGCGGCCTGGATCTGGTTCTCCTCACGGAGGAGCTCCGTTGGCTGGTCCTCTAAGGATTCCAGCAGAACTGCTTCGGATTAAGTTTCAGGGCTAATTGTGTTGACATGTTCCAGTTTGGTGTAGAAGATTCAATGGGATTATTTTGGGTTGATCTGTCCACGTTGTACATGCGATGCAGGTGAATGCGTTTCAAAGGCTTACAAGGCTTTAGATCTGCACGTGTGGCCAAACGAATTGGCATCACAAACGTGGGCGCTGGCTCTTGCACAGTCTGATGGGAAAGCAACAAATGGCACACAGCCGTCGCGCGTGTTTGTTTTGCTGGCCTATGCTGACTAACACGATCGAACCGAGGAAAAACGCACGTTGATGTCAAAATTGTGTGCTCTGGTTTTGCCCATCTGAAGACTCCGATGTCCCGCGAGGCTGTGTTGGGACCCTCGAGCAGGCCCCCGGCCGAAGATGCAAGTATCGCCACGATCGCTAGAATGACCCCCTTGCGGATCCTAGTTGTCCATGTTGTCCCTGTACGAATTCCAGATAATTCCAGGAATGACGGTGGTGTGACCAGGGGCTCACATACCGGACATACCGATACCGAAGCCGTAATGACCTAATGAAAGGCTCCCAGTCTTCCTCTCAAATACTAACGTCAATTAAATAGGCGAAGTTAAATTGTAGGTTCTTGGCTTCGGTTGCAAGGCTTACGGTTTAGCGGCTCTAACGGTTCAAGGTTAGTGGGAGCGTAGGGTGTTGGGTTTAGATTCAGCTCTCGGGTTTTATCAGACGCCCGGGTGTTGGAGCTGATGCTGCATATCGTCTTTTACCCTAGCTCCGAAAGTTACAGCACGGATCAGCAGGCCGTCAGCAGCGTGCCTCGCGGTCCTGCCTGGCCCGGCGATCTTTGCAACGTCGTTCATGCCAGGCACGCCGCAGGCCCAGGCCGTGCAAGCCGAGAAGGTTCACATTCTGGCCACAAACTCGGCCTGGGTGTCGTGTGCTATTTGATTCAGCCCGTTGCAGCTGCACATCTGGAGGGCTATCTGGGGCGCGGACACACCGATCGCTCGCATGGCGGCATGAATGCGTTTTTTCAATGGGGTTCTGCACGCTGCTGACGTTACTGGCAACGAAAAATGCAAATGCAACATACATCTATCCAAAGGGGCTACGTTAACAAACTTGGGTCGGCGTGTGAACAGCCGAAAGCAAGTAACGGAAATCTTGATTGCGGCTGCACGGTGGATCTGCATCCAACGCTCGCACGCTGCAGGCGCATGCTTGAATGATTCTCAACTTGTGCTGAAATGCCAATTTGCCCTGTCGGTCGGTCTAGCGGGCAATGACCTCCAGCTTGTAACCCTGTAGCTGCGATCCGGCTCGTCTTCGGCTGAAGCTCATCTTTTGTTCTTGGCGCTGTTCGGTCGCAGGCCCTCTGGGACTTGGGACGCTCGGCTTGGGAGCGGGAGACCTATCCCTGGACTGCTACAGCAGCGCACAAGTATCGTGCGAAAAAGTGACGTAGTCCCAGCGCTGCGCCTGCAACCCCGTGGCCCCGTGGTGTCAGGTGTTGCTGCTGCAATAAATACCCTTGCTTCAATCCCAGGCCTCGTGCATTGCAACCAGCAGCTCATCCTGAAGTTTTGCGGTTCTGCTACAAACAAAATGGACATTCATAGCATTTTTTCCGCACCATAACCAATGTCTGTAAGCTCCAAGCAGGAAACGGCTGGGCTGGGAAGCTTGCGTGGACCGATGACGAAGCCTGTGGCCACACACAGACACAAGCACCCGAGCAGGCATTTGCTGCGGCCCAGCTACTGTTCCAACCCACACACGAACAGACCGGCTGCCTGCAAATCCAGAGCATCAAATGAAGATAAAGCCTGTGGCCACGAAAGAGCATCTAAGCTTATCCGACATCGCATTTTTCTCCACGTTCTTCCGCGGATTTCCGCGGGCTAAGGCATGTCCTTGAAACTTTGAGGCCCGCGCCTGCGTTGGCATGTTCGCTGGGGCAAGCGGCGGCACCTGTGGCCACGCACAAGTTACACAAGCACCCAACAGAAGTTCAATGCAACAAAGCCACGACCAGACTGACTGCCTGCAGATCCGGAGTCGCAGATGATGATAAAGCCTCTGCCGCAAAAGCATCCAAACTTACCCGACATCGGGTTTTCTGGACCATGCTATAGTAAACACTGAGTAAACAGGTGCTTCACTAGGCAGCCAAGGGCAATGAAGGGCATGTGTTCTTCTTTTTGACGGGGGGGGGCAGGGCGCGGCACACGCCTGCGCCGGCATGCTCTCTTGGGCCAGCGACGAAGCCTGTGGCCACACATAAATGACACAAGCACCCGAGCAGGCATTTGCTGCAGCCCAGTTTTCGTTCCAACCTAACCACGAACAGACTGGCTGCTTGCAAATCCAGAACAGCAAATGAAGATGAAGCCTGTGGCCACTGGCCAGGCAAGAGCATCCAAACCTATCCGAAATCGCATTTTCTCCACGTTCTTCTGCGGGCTAAGGCATGCGCTGGCATGTTCGCTGGGGCAAGCGGCGAAGCCTAGTCCGTGGCCACGCAAGTTGCACGACCACTCAACAGACATTCAATGCATCCAAGCCACGACCAGACTGACTGCCTGCAAATCCGGAGTGGCAGATGATGATGAAGCCTCTGGCCACGCCAAAAACAGCCAAGCCTATCCGACATCGAGTCGTCTTGACCATGTTGTAGTCATTACGTGCTTCACTAGGCCGCCAAGGCCATGCAGGGATGTTAGGGAGGGGGGCGAGCGCGCACGCGCCTGCCCCGGCATGTTCTCTCGACACAAGCACCCGGGCAGGCATTTGCTGCAGCCCAGCTATTGTTCAAACACACACACACACACACACACACACACACACACACACACACACACACGAACAGACTGGCCGCCTGCAAACCCAGAGCAGCAAACGAAGATGCCAAATTTATATCCAAGCCGACATCGCGCGTTGAACCATACAAGTCCCCGGCTTTGCTAGGTAGACGGTGCTCACACTTAAGAAATTGAGGCGTCTGCATTATTGTTGGCAGGCGCTTTCCTGCATGGCAACATGCTGGTCTGCCAGAAAGATATGGGGCCAAATGCCAAAAATACAACATTCACCTGTCTGCACTACAGTCCTTCGCATGGGTTGGTTCTTCAAGCCATTCCTCCCTGCAACGCGAAAGAAAGAATGTGGGCATCATCGCACCCTCGCTAAGCCTAGGGTTGTTCCCACACGTTCAAGGCGTTCGACTGCTGAGGCAAAGGCTGGACTGTGCCTTCTGAGGAGCAACACCTAGAGAGGCATCATCCGGGCTCGCTAAGCCTAGCCACGCTCCCACACGTTTATGGCATTCGATTGCTGAGGCAACGGCTGGGTTGGGGATTCGGAGGAAGAGCGGCACGAGTGCTACCTGCACTGGAGCAGTTGCACAGCCTAGGCTTGTGGCGTCCGTAGCAGCCTCGTTCATTGCCGAGGCTTCGCCGATACGCCCAGCCTGTGCCACAATCACAACCAAGTGCCGTCAGATCTGAGCCCATCGGTCTACTCTGCACATGCTGTGGCCCGTACGTGCGAGCATTGCCGTGCCCGCCACTGCCATCTCCCCCGCGATCCCCTCGCTGTCGCGCAAGTAGTCGGGCACATGCGTTTGCAGCAGTGTTGGGGCCTTGGCGCAACCATGCACAACCCTTTCACCCCCTCTTCATCCCCGGACCCCCCCGAACGATGGTGGGCGGAGTACATTGCTTTGACCCAACTGTGTGCGGACTACCAGTGACTATTCTGTGCTCCAATTCTCTTCAAATTGATCCTGATGCTTGAGCCTAGTTGAGCTGTGGTTTTTATCCGTGTTTGTGTGAATGGAGGTAAAGAAACCGTTCCGCAGGACCCTTCCGCATGCTTCCGCGCGCGAGGGTTTAGTTTCCGCGGGCCACAATTTTAATGTCGCTTCCGCGGGTCCCTTCCGCAACGGTGGTTTCGCTGAGTTGGCGGGACTTGCTTCCGCAAGTGAGGGCTCAGCTCTTGGGGAGGCTTTTCGTTTGGGCAAACCACGTGTACAACTTCAACCACCAACAAAGGATGCAATCTTACATAAAGCGCGCGAAGACACAAACAAGCACATCTGAAGAGGCTTGTAGGTGGCGTTCGGTTTCGGCGTGTAAACCCTCACGGGGTAGGGAAGTTCGGCGGGTTTCCAATGCATGATTGGGTTTAAGGCATGCGGGGTAGGGAACTTCAGTGCGTTCGGTGTTCAATCCAACTTCCTGTTTAAGCCCTTGGGGGTATTGAATTTCGGCGGTTTTCCAATCCGTAATTGGGTTTAAGGCCTTCGGGGTAGGAAATTTCAGTGGCTTTCGGTTTTCAATCCAAAATCCGTTTAAGGGCTTCGCGGTAGGGAATTTGAGTGGCTTTCGGTTTCCCAATCCAAGATCCGGTTTAAGCCCCTTGGGGTAGGGATTTTTGGCGGGATTCCCAAACCATCATCGGGTTTTATGTCTTTAGGTGCCGGCGGGGCCTCAATGACTCAAGCAGCAATGTAGGAATCTGCGGAATTATTGCTAATCATAAAGGCTCCCTGCACTTCTGGTGCGACGCCCAGGTATGCAGAGCTTCCGAATGCTTCCGCGCACACAATTCGGTGCAAATTTCTTCGGCTGAAACGATTCACATTTCCGGGCCTACTCATAATGAAAGAAGCGCGGGAAGAAAAACACGGCTCAGTTGGCCTGTGGATAAATACACAGGGCATGGACGGCGCAGCAGGACAGTCAAAAGTGACTACCTGAAAGAGCAGAACCTACGCACGCAACTGGAAATCCAACCAATGTGACACCAGGATGAGCAAGCAAAACAACAGCATGCAAACACAACTAGCCAGGGATCCAGCGCTGATGCTGTGTGAAAGCACAACCATGACGGGAATGGAGAGCATCAGTGCCGCCTGACCTTGGAATTTCAACAGCCCCTTGCGGTCCAATGGATAAGGTTGAAGGTTTAGGATCAAGAAGGGAAGCAAGCGCCCGGCCACGCTGACAGTCACGTGCTGGTGCCGGAGGGGCCTCAATGACTCCAGCAGCATGCAATGTAGGAATCTGCGGAATTCTTGTTAATCATACAGGCTCCCTGCACTTCTGGTACGACGCCCCGGTATTGACGATGGCATAGTGGAGCGAAGGTGTGCTCAGCGCTTGAACCAAATGCTTGCCGGAGCTGCCGCGTGTTGTCGTGGTGTCCTTGCAAGTTTCTTTGAAACTTATTTCGAGGAAGAACGAGGTTAGGGTACATCCTGACACATGCCAACAGTTGGAGCACCCAAAAATCAACTCCGTGACAGTTCGTGTTCTCCACCAGCATCGAAACCCGACATTTCCCTGCTGACAACATGTCAAGCATGCACACCCCGGCTCCGGAACATGCCTGACATCGGTCACACTTTCTGCTCTCCGCCAGGAAAATACGAGACATGCCACTGTGTCATCCCTCTGCCGCAGGTGGTTTTGCAAGGCCGCTGTCTTCTTGTGATCTTTGGTGATGTTCCGGCTCCGAGTTCAGAGCTTTCGCAGCCTTTCGAACCGCCGGCGCTGTGCATCTATCTGGTTTTTGCAGGCGAGCGTTTCTAGTGGCAGCACCCGGATTTGGCAAAAGACCTTTTTTGCTCAGGTCGCATCCCGGCAAAGAGCGATGCGCGCCTCTGAAGCTAAGGCTTTGAATATGCTTGAACATTCAAATTCCCGCAGGATACCTAGGACCTAGGACAACTCCGAGTAAATTGCCCGAGGCCCGCTGAATGAACTCCATAACAGCAGCTAGAGATGTGGTTCAGAGGAACAGATGCATGTAGTTCTGCCAGAACTTCGCTCAAACGCCCACCTGCACTGAGATACTGGTATTAGTTTTGCGGACTGTGGTCACCAGCCAATGGGCTCAAAGGCAGGAGATGACTCCGACGACCTTGGTGCGATAAAGTCAGCTGCAGTTTCTCAGACTACGGATCAGCACAGCTGCAGAGACCCGCACCCCGGAGAGCTAGGGCAGCGGCCGCTCCAC